CGCCCACATGTTGCGCGGACTGTTAGAGACTTCTGTTCAGCACAACGCATGCAACTTCTTCCTTGGCCTGCTTATTCGCCGGATATGTCGCCTATTGAGCACGTGTGGGATATGGTTGGTCGGCGTCTCACTCGTGATCCGCGTCCTGCAGTTTCCAAAGACGAACTTTGGTTGCGCATACAAGCGATATGGAATTCTCTTCCTCAAGCAGATATTCAACATCTGTTTGACTCCATGCCACGTCGTATAGCAGCACTTATTGCAGCGCGTGGTGGCTGCACCAAATACTGATTTCGGACGCTTAATTTGTTTCTTTTGTTTTGAAAATTTCATCATTTATTTGTATCAGTACAAGTCGTTTCTGCATTAAATTTCATTTGATTCTGATGATTCTTTCATGGTGTTGCATTTTCTACAAACAGCAGTTTATTTTAAATAACACAATTTAATTATGTATCACTTTTAATGTTTTACGCATTAAGTAAATTTTATGAATAAATATAAATTGATAAATTATTTATTTACAAAAAAAAAATATCATTTAATATCAATAAGAATGTGCACACGATGTTTGTAAATATAGAAATATTTTCTTAGATTACTACATTTAGAACTTAAACTTAGGGAAACTTGGAAAACTTAGTTCGTTTCGAACCGTCTTTCTCCCCCCCCCCCCCCTGTTAATTCGTTTAACAAAACAATAATGAAGATAAACAAATTTGTGAAAGGTCAGATTAAAAGATAAATTATTTTGTGAAGGATCCGTTTTATGAAAATATATTTCGTGAAGGGTCAGTTAACGAATCCAAATTTCTTCTAAGCAGACACATAGCATTTAAAATCAGATATTTTTAATACAATATTATTTATTACAACAACTAAATCTCGAAATGAAAACAGGCATTTAGTAACCCCTTTTGAAGAGTCCAACTCGTGTGATTTCGCAGTCAGTAGTTACTGCGACAGATTTCACGATTTTTTTTCTTAATGTGATGCTGAATTACTAAATGCGGAAAAGGAAATAATTAGTGCGTTATGTTCCTACAAAATGTGAGAATAACGCCCATAACATTCGAATAAAAAAATACTGCATATTCAATTTAAAAAAATTATTTTAATTGATCTGACTTTTTTCCTTTATTTTTTTGAAAATCAAGCTTCTGTTACTTTAAATTAGTAACATGTATATTTGTTATTTTTAAGCATACCTTGCAGAAAGATATTAGCATTAATGAGAAGAAAGCCCGAAAAAATTCTGTCACAGAGGCAGCACTTCTGATAGAAAGAAAGATTGCAGACAGATTTTTTCTTTAAAAAATTTTTTTTTGTTGTCCATATCTGAGTAAGACCCTAAATAGTACAAAGACCCTACAAATTGAATAATTTACAATTACATAACATCTTAATTTCTATTTTTTAGCAAAATATATTAATTTACCAGAAACAATTTGTTTTTCCAGATTCATTAACTGAACTTTTTCCCTCTCCTTGTTCCTTCTTATTTATTTCTTAGAATCTTATTCTACACATCCAATTCAGTAGCTTTTGGGATATCCTGTCAGGTCAAATTTTTACAAAATGAAGTCGCAATTTAAGGAAATGTTCAGTCACTGGAACAACTTCACTTCTGTTTAATAAACCCTGTGACTGGTATAAAGTAACTTAATTTGAAATCTATTGTGAAGTGTAACAATTGAAAAACTGTTACCAAAAAAAAAAATTTAAAAAAAAAAATTTTTTTATGATTTTTTTTTTTAAAATCGACTTTAGTTTCAGTTATTTTCAAGTAATTGCACTAAAAGCATCTGTAATAATCAGATAACCAAGGGAACAATCTTAAAGATAATTATCTAGCAATCTGCTATTATATTAAAAATAACACTTAAATTTGCATTCAAGTGTTATGTTTCGAAGAATGAATGTATTTACTCTATTGTTTTTAATAGGGTGACCTGGGGTAATTCCTGATCAAAAAACGCAAACATCTATTTTGTGAAAAAACTATTCAAAATAGAATTTTAATATTTACTGGAAGTTTGAGGCTATATGAGATGAGTCTAATGCCACCTATATGCCAATTAAAATATACTTTATAGTTGTTCCACTTAATAAATATGAACAGTTATTTAAGAAAAGACAATTAGGTACTTATAAGCTATTTTATATACTATTTATAAGAAGAAATGACAATGATCAGGAATTACCCCAGTGGTCAATAATTACCCCATGTGTAAGGGGCAACATTTGATACAGTTTCCTATAATCAATTATAATGTTTACAGTAGATGTGAAACAATTAAACAAAAGCTTACACTACTTTTATATTAAAGAAAAAGAAAGTGACTCAAAATATTTCCTATTAGGAGAAGAAGGGGGATCTTTGCAGAAATGTGTACATTTTGAAACCCATCTTTGAAATGGCAAATACAGAAAGCAGTTTAAAAGATACTTATTTTGTTAGATTAAACAAAAAATTATTATTAAGTAAATGTAGTTATACTTTAGTAAAGTGTACAAGCATTCTTGTCCATGTCTTAAATTTAAAAAAAAAAATTTTTTTGAAATAAAACTTAGGTGATCATTATTTACCCCAGAAACAGAGTGATCGTGAATTACCCTGGGTCACCCTACACAATCCTTGACAACCAACTAGCCTCACCCTCCCTTACTTCTCTTTTGAAAGTGCTTTATAACTATCAAGATAAAGTAATTTTATGTACATAATTTAAATTAAAACATTATTATAAATCTACAATTTAAACAAAATAGGATCAAATGTCAGAAAAGAAAGAAAAAACTCAGTTTTCAACTTTAAATTCTATAAAACATCCAGCAATTAAAACAAAAATATTTACACAAAATAATATTAACTATAATTTTGATGAACCTTTAAAGAAGAAAAGTTTTAATATTAAGTTCGGAATATAACATCCTTGAATTACTTACCACTCTTAGGCAAATTTTGTATTATCTCTACCGCAGAATTGAAGCGATCAACAACAGGACTGATATCCATTGCTTATATAAGTCAAAGTTTCAAGTCATTTAAATTATAATTTTCAGTATATCGTTAGATGAAATGAAGAAGTAAACTACACAAACTGCGATCAGTCATTCCACCTCGTTTATCACTCACAAATCTTAAGACGACGAAAACACTACACAACTTACTTTTGGTTTTTGACTATTTGATAAAAAATACTGTGTAGTCAGCTTTATTACTACTGAACCAAAACTTCAAACATTACTTTCTATGAAGCCGACCAAATCACCTCAAACACATTTGATTGGTTGATTTAGGACTACTCGGTAATCCAGATTTGGCTTAAACGCATTATTTTGGTGAAAACGGTATTTCTGAATTTAATATTGTATAGAATAACTACGTTAAAACAGTAATAAAAACTTATATTTAATCTGTAAAATATTATGATGAATCATTCGAGAAGTAAACTTTATGACTATCAACAACTGTTTTACCCTTCTTGTCTATAATAATTTGTGTATAAATAATGCCTACGGCTATGTAATTAAACAGTTCGTTCCGATTAAACCATTGAATCCGACTATCGATTTATTTGTTTGTAATATTATATTTACAAACTAAGAATAAGCTGAAGAGTTCCGATTCGAAGCGAAATCGTTCTTTTACTTCAGCCATCTCATTTAATAATGATTGTTACAACCCTTTTGATAAGGAATTTGGCGATAATATTTATCGAAAAATGGAAGCATAGGCCTGTCTATTTTTGATCATCTGAAGAATAACAAAAATACATTGAACAGTAGAGCTTGTTAAATTATTCAAAATTATTGATTATTCATTAATAATTACTCTTTTTATGTGGCCCTTTGAAGTTGTGACACGTGTATCATAGCTAAGTTTGATGTGATTTCATAAACTCTCACTAGTTCTTTTCTGTATTCCCGTTAATTTATATTACGGTACTTGTTTGTTTTTTAGTAAATACTTTTTAAGTTGATTCTTATAATTTATTAGGCTAGTAGTATAATTTTAATTAGTGAACAATTTAAATTTATTTTTGTACCTTTTAGTTTTTAAAATGTGAGAGTTCATTTTTAGTATATTATAAGTCATATGATTTTAAATAGTATTTTCTTTTGCAGATGAATTCCTTTATCAAGTACATCCTCTATTTCTTGTTTGTTCTTTTTCTGTTTTATTCATTTATTCCCACTGTATCCAGTGAAGATGCCAAAACTGCAAAAAAAATTACTAAACTTCAAATTGGGGTGAAAAAGAGAGTTGAATCCTGTGAAATAAAATCTAGAAAAGGAGATGTCTTGCATATGCATTATAAAGTAAGTTTTTTCACTCTTGTCTTTGATAGGGAGAGGAAATTGCATCGTTTTATTTCCTAAGTTGCCTCTTAAATTTTATTTTGGCTGTTGCAATACTTGTAGATGTTTGCTATGAGTTATACCTTTTAAGATGGTCTCTTTCTGTGATGTTTTTTTTTTTTTTTTTTTGTAAGCTTCTCGTTGACAGCTTCCTTAGAGATTATTCTGCCACAGATCAAGATACGGAAATCTTCCTTGTGATATAAATAAAAAGCAATAAATTAATATTATGATAATTTCAGTCATTTAATGAAATTATTAATTTTTACATTTATATACCATCTTTTAAGTATTTTGAAGTAAATTTAAAAGTTAGGATTGCATTCTAAACAAATAAGTGATCTGATATGTGACCATGCTTCTGGACCAGTGGTTACCAACTGGCGACCCAAGGGTCGCATCCGTCTAACGAAGCCTTTTTTGTGGCCCTCTTACTAAAATATATTAGTTGTCATTTGTTGCGGACAATTTTCATAAAAAATCTATATGGGTTTAAAATACTTTCCTTCGTTAAAAAAACCTTAATTTCTTAGTTTCTGTGAAATTTAGCATACCAACCGTACAAAACTATTATTTCTCAGGTTTTGCATCGAAGAAAATATTGATTCAAGAAAATATTTGTTATTTGTAATTCAATACTTTTGTTTTGTACAATTTGATAAAAATCTGACAGTAATATTTAATGTTCCTTCAAACATAAAAGCGTCCCAAATAAAATTACGAAAGTTGCGGCCCACCATTTGATTGGTGTTTTTAATTGCGGCCTCATGTAAGTTGGAAACCCCTGTTCTAGACCTATGGTGTGAAGAATTTAGAGTCAAATTCTCTATACAGGGCACAAAATTTCGCCGTGCCATTGACAACCAAATAATTAGAACTTGCATCTAAATTTTGTCATGTTAAATATAGTGTTTCAAACCTACTCTGGTAATAGTTTTCCCAAAGTTTAAAGTGGATAAAAGTAAAAAATGGTAAACAAGGGTGTTAGACTATACAAAGGAGATTAATGAAACATGAACTAAGATATACATCATATAAAGATTGAGATCTGTATCCCTGGAATGAAATTAAAGGGGGGTAGTCTGCATCTTGCATTAGGTGGTTTGGACACCAAACTGGTCAAAAACGTTCCATGTATCTCTAGCTTTATGTAATAACCAGGGTTGGGTTTTTGACGTCAAAAAGTGGTTTTTGACATGACAAGGGTATAATACTGGTTTAAACCGTCAAAAACCCGTCAAAAATGTCAAAAACTAAAGTTTGCCAAAAAAATATATAAACTTCAAAACTACCAACAGTTGCCATGCATTATATTGAAATTTAATTATACTATAGGTAATCAGCAGGTTTTAAAATATTTTTTAATTAAAATTAAGGTAAAACAACAGATTTAAAATCTCAGAAATTTATATTCAAATGCATGTGCAGAAAAATTTTGCACAAAATTTTTTTAAATATTTATATTTTGAAAAAAAAAATTTTTTTTTTGATACTTAAGAAAATTAAAAGTTTATTACTATGCATTTTTGACATATAAGGAACATATAACTAATATTTATAAGGAACTTACAAGTTATGTTGTATAAATACAAACTTGATACAAGTGTATGAAAAAAAATTTTAATGTTATACCGAATATCTTTATTATCCAGTATGTTAATTTGAATTTAAAAGTAGTTATATTTGTGAATAATGATAAATATAATTCATATTGTTTATTATATTTATTTATAATTATTACACTTATCATTTTAAAACAATTTTTACCTCTTAATTTTTTTCCCCCACTTGTATTAAGAATACAAATAATGCATATCTTGAAAGCAAGAAGTAATTATTCAACAGCTGAATATTTAGATATTCAACAAAACTATATAGTATTCAGCAAAATGAAATTCACAAGTATTTGGATAAACTAAATTTTCAGCATAGTAAATGAATAGGCTGAATATACTGTAAATCGACACTAACTACTCTGTGTATTTAACAGAAAGCACTTAAATTTGTATTGTCTTATGTTAAAAAGATTATTAAGAAGATTTAAAAGAATATTAAAAAGATTTTTCTTTAAAAGATGTCTAATGTACAAAACTGCTAATGTTTATCTTTAAAAATGTCTAATTTTTAGTATAATCTATACTATACACTAAATTTGGTTATAAATAAATTTCTTAATAATATCACTGCAGATTTTCAATAACACATGAAAATGAATACATAATATTACAAAAGATGTGAGCTTTCAAAAGTACAAGATTTTGGTTACTATTCAAAATATAAGTGTTTCTTCAAAATTTTAAATTTATTTTTTCTAGAACATATTTAGAAACACTATCCTTTATAAAAAATAGATAAATTTTATGCATTAATTAAATTTTACATATGAATATAGGTTTTTGACATTTTCGACATTTTTGACAGTGAGGTTTTTGACGTGACGGTTTAAACCATGGTTTAAACTGTCAAAAACTGTCACATGTCAAAAACCTGCCAACCCTGGTAATAACTAATAATAAGGGATAAAATGAAAAAAAAAATTATTTTCACTCGTAATTTTTTTCTCTTTCTAGTTAAATATTCATCTTCGGTTCTTTCTCTTTTCGGTACAAGATATGCAAAAAATAATTGAGTTGATTGGTTTTCATTGTCTTTGACCACTGAAAAAAAATATATGTTGGCATAGTTTGAATTCAATTTTTATAAAATTTAAATTAAATTTTTCTTTTGTTAGCCTAATTAGAGTTAAGTTAATTTGAATACTATTTTAAATTTTTTCTTGAGGATTTTTTAATAATAATAAATAATGTCAGCTCTTATTAACTTTGACTCTTCTTGCTGGTAATAAGCAAGTTGAAAAAATCATCAAACAGAAAAAGAGCTCAAGAAAAAATAAAGTTTCATTGAAGTTTATCGTTTCTGTTTAAATAGCAAGATATAGACAAATGTTTTTTGTTTTTTTTCCCTATATTAAACTCTAATGTCTTTATTAATGTTAATATAGAGAAAAATATGTTCACTCAAATATCTCTAATACCATAAATATATGCCTTTTATTAAACATATGTATTCTGTATGTTTGTCTAAATATTTTTCTTTTAAAAATATCAATAAAAATCAATATTGATTAAAGTGAATCGAAAATCACAATTATAAATTTCAAACGAAAATCTATGAAATAGGAAGCGTACAAATAGCCAATCGAGTAAAGATTTATTTATTTGTTGATATAGTTTAGAATAAATATTGTGAACTAATTGACATTATATAAGTTATTGTATAGTTATGTAATTATGTTATGAATTTTTCCTATTATATATTTCCTCATACTAGGGTACACTTGATGATGGAACTGAGTTCGACAACAGTTATAAGAGAGGAGAACCTTTATCATTCACCCTTGGATCTGGACAAGTTATTAGGGGTTGGGATCAAGGACTTTTAAAGTAAGATTATGTTTTAAACAATGTGTTGTTCAACATTATTTAGTACATAATTAAATGAGGTTTTTTTTTTGTTAAAAAGAGTAGGACAACAATGGTGAAACTTTTTGGGAAGTGGGTTGAATTTTGTCTATTATTTTATTAATTACTATCCTTTGTGTCACTTAGTCAGTGATAGATACTGCTTGCACAAATGTATATAAAAAGAAACTTTTTGTTTCAAGATGCACATTTTAAGGTAAAAATTTATTTACTGCACAGCATTTTAAAAAATTAGTGAAAAGTTCATGAAGCTTAAATTTGAATTTGCAGCAAAAAAATGAATATAGCTTATAAAGCTATCGCAATCGTAAAATTTGAATTTTTAAAAAAATCAGACTGTGATATAAGTCTTTATTTTTTTCCTTCAACTTGAATATGGTCAATAATTTTTGTTTATATTTGTCTTTGGTTTATTGCTTTCATACTAATGTGTAATGATATTTGTTTGTATTATGAAAAGAGTTGTCTTCTTTTTTAACTGTTTTAGTTAAGCTTTTTTGTATGTAATAGGTACTTTAAAATGGTTATGGTAAAGAAAAGTTAAACTATTAAAAAAGTGGTAATTTTTTTTTAATTAAATGTTAAATGAATATTTTCTATGTTAGCTACTACCTGATTTTTAAAAAGAATAAAAAACATTTGCTTAATGTGAAAACAGTCTGGTTTCAGATTGCAAGCTTTCTCATTGAATTCTTCATATTCGTGAGACGTATTTGTCACGCTACGTTAAAATGAGTTCATATAATTAAGGGCAAAAGAGATTTCTATCAGATACTTTTGAATGTATTTCTAACATAATTGAAATATTTTTTTATCGTTTGCTTTTAATAAACCGAAAAATAATTAGGTTAATGAGAAGGTAAGAAAAAAAGCAGTACGGACAATAAAAAAAACCTAGTGATAAATCTTTTTGCTTTATTGCAACACTAGGTAGGTCTAGCCTTTTTTTTTTTTTCCACTATGAGTTTATGGTTTATTCTTCTCTTTATGGTTGATATTTCTTGTATGGTTTATACATCTCTCTTGTTTTAAAACTTAAATATTATAATTTATATTTTCAGAATGTGTGAGGGAGAGAAAAGGAAATTAGTCATTCCTCCTGACTTAGGATATGGATCAGCTGGTGCTCCACCTACAATACCAGGTATACATAAATTAGATAGAAGGTGTTCCTTCCCAAGTGGCGTGATACCTACATTAAATGTTAAATTTTAGAAAATTGGTAAAATCAATACGCTTTGTGCTTAATATTGATGGGATTACCATTGAGTTATTTGAACTAGTAACAATATAAAATTACTTAAAAATGATTTAAATTTTTTTTTAATAATATTGTGAAAATAATATTAACATAAAATTGTGTGTTTACAGAGCAGCACTTTATCAGGGGACACACTGTCTGCAAACACACAGGAGCCTTTCTGTTGTTATTGGCAAAGCCAAAACTAACAGTGCCCCGCTGCCATCTGTCCATAAAATCCCAAAAAAAAAAAACTTTTTTTGAAAATGAAAACAAAATCCCAATAAATATAATAATATAAAATATCCCAATAAATATAACTGGCCCATTGAAGGATTTTTCGAATGGAAATGTAGAATTTTATATAATTTTAAATTGATTTTTTTAAAAAACAACACGAAATACCAAGGTTTTTATTTAAATTCTAATATTGTTAAATCTATAGAGGTTTTGAGAAGGAACTTTATTATTTGTGTGGTTGATAAAGCTTCAAATAATTTTGGCTTTATGTGCAAAAAATTCTTTAAAAATATAATTGGTACTGAATATGATAATAATGATACTTTTGTTAAGATTAACAACTCTAAGAAAGAAATTGACAATAGAATTTTGGCTCTTTACAAAAGAATTGGATTAAAACCAAATTGTTTAAATTTCCCATATTTATTTCCGACCATTAAATTTCATAAAACACCTGTTAAATTTAGATTTGTTACATGCTGCACAGGGTGTCATAATTCTGTTTTTGGTAAACGTTTTTTTAAATATTTAAGCATTATTTTAAACAAAATTATTTCTAATGATAAACATTTTATCATTAATAACAACCAAGAAGTTATTAAATATTTAAACAACACTAATGTTAATACAATTCTTACCTGTGATTTTGAAAATCTTTTTACTAGTATTCCTCACAATAATTTAAAAAATATTTGTATTGAAATTTTTGATCATTATTTGTTTAATGAAGGTATTGACAAGAAAGATTGGATTAATTTATGCAATGTCAACATTTTTGAAAATTATCTTTTTAATGGTATTAGCTTTTATAGGCAAGTTAAGGGTATCTCGATGGGTAATAGTTATTCAAGTGCATTTGCTAATATTTTCCTTCATTTTTATGAACATAAATTTTTACAGAATAATTTTTTTGAAAGGTTTTAGGTTTATTGATGATTTGATCATCTTTGATTGTTGTGATTTTGATTTGATTGATAGCATTTATCCTGAAGAACTGAGTTTAATTAAAACCAATTCACCTGACTCTCATGCTTATTTTTTAGATCTTGATATAAATATTTCTAATAACAATATTCTCATAGGGGTTTATGATAAAAAGAAGGATTTCAAATGTAATGTTGTTAACCTTACACATTTTTATTCCAACATTTATTATAAAATTTTCAAAAATATTGTATTTGGTCAAGTAAGGAGGTTTAAATTTATTTGTAATAACCGTAATGATTTTTTGACCGCTATTGAGGTATTAAAAAACAGTTTAAAGAAAAATAAATTTCCTTTCAACTTTAATAATTTTGATGTTATGATTCAGGAAATTTTAAACAAATTCTATTAACTTGGCCGATATTGAAGCCCGTCTAAGAAGGCCTGGACGGTGAAAAATTTGGTATTCATTTTCAATATTTATTGGGCTTTTGTTTTCATTTTCAAAAAATGTTTTTTTTTTTTTTTTTTTTTTTTTTTTTTTTTTTTTTGAGATTTTATGGACAGATGGCAGCGGGGCACTGTTAGTTTTGGCTTTGCCACTATCAACAGAAAGGCTCCTGTGTGTTTGCAGACAGTGTGTCCCCTGATGAAGTGCTGTTCTGTAAACACACAATTTTATGTTAATATTATTTTCACAATATTATTAAAAAAAAATTTAAATCATTTTTAAGTAATTTTATATTGTTACTAGTTTATATAATTTGAATTTGGTTTTAGCTGACTTGTGCGCTGTTCCAATTTGAATTAGTGTAGTAATGGTTATTTATTTTTCCTACCTCCTGTTTAATATTTTTAACTTAAGAATTTGAATTTATATTTGCATTGAGTTATTTGGTAATAAAGCTTTGTCATATTTTGCAAAATATTAACGGAATGGATTTTACCTCCTACCCTTCTGTAAGAATTGCTTTCGTGCACTTTACAAAATATTGACAAAAGAATATTTATTATTTAGATTTAATAAAAGTGATTTTGTGTACTATTGACAAAGCAAATGTACTGTTCAAATTTCAGTACATATTTATTCAAGCAAATTTTCTGTTTTTTCGCTAACCACTTTTTTCTATAATTTAGTTTTTTAACCTACCTAGGTTTTGAAGTACTGTTGAGGTAAATAATATGTAAAAATAACCTACACATTTTTACCTAGTGAAGGTGGTTGGTAAAATGTTCATAAAAGAAGCTTATTTGTTTACGTAAATTTTAAATTTTTTGAATAACCGTTTTTTGCTATAATTCTGCATTTAAGTTTCATGTAAATTTTACAAATGCTTAATAAGATTTGAAGAAGAGATATTGTGACTTAAAATTGATGGTTCTCTGCTACCTGCGATAGTCATTGTATCTTTGTATGTATTTTTAGAATCCTTGGCTAAAAGTAACACGAAGTAACACGATGAGTGGCAAATTAGCAGTGATAAAGAATGTAAAAATATGGATGGAAAAAAAAACATTAAATCCAGTTTGATCACTGGATAAAGGGTTTCTAATACTTGTTTCTCTGAATTTGAAACAGTTTTTAATGTCTTGTTCACTTAATTACCTAAGCAAAGATTTTTTAAGTCTAGAGAGCATTTAAAAAAATTTTCCTGGTTCAAATTTTAAATTATGCCCCCTTAATGTGTTTTTAACTTTATTCTTGACAAGGGATTTAAGAAGAAAAACTGAGACTACTGAGCACTCTGCATAGACTTAATCAGTGTTCTCCCTAAGCGTTTTTTAAAGGGCGGCCTGTTCTGCTTGCCCTTTGATCCTGATAAATGTGCCCATTTTGTAAAAATAAGCCGCCGACCCTTGAAAACACTGCCTTTTTATAAGTTTTTTTTTTCAGAGGAGTGTTATTAATAAATTTTTTAAGTGATTTTAAAACTATTTGTTAAATAAGTACTTTTTTTTAAAAAAAAAAAAATTGCTCCTTTAAATATTTATTTTCTTATAATTTTCAATTCCAATTATATTTAATAACTGTTGTTGAACAAGCAACCCAATTTTGAGTTAACAACTACTAATGTTCAATTACGTAATCTTGAACCCAATCCAGAAGACAGGGGAATTCCTGAATCAAGTATTGGGAGAAATATGTCTTCGTGGAGGACTGCTTGATGGAACTAACCCGCATTTGTGCTACATGAAGAGCAAGACAGCAAGAGGACTCTAACCCATGATTCTTCGACCACAGAGAATATGTTACGTCAGCACTGTGGGTGGTTGCAAGCCTGATGTGGAATTCGTATTGACTTGCAATCGCTGGGAATCTAATCCAGTCCACCTCATTGGAAGGCGAACGCTCTATCCCCTGAGCAAATGCAGCTCAGTTCAAATTATAGAAAAAAGCTTTCAAGCAGTTTTTCAATTAATCATTTTTTGTTAGTTTACTTCTTCTGAAAAGAAATATGCACGGAGATTGCCTTTTAGCGTATACCTTTAATTATTTTTATAAACAACACATTTTTCTCATATTTTGATAATGAGATACCTGCTCCTGAGTCACCTGCCCTTTTTTTTATTCCTATGGAGTTAAGCTTTAGTTTAAATGAAGCTATCAAATTGAATACTGCTATGTGGCTTTAATTAGAACTAATCTATTTTGGGCCCCTTAAAATTTTAAAAAAAAAAAAAAACAGATCCTAATCCTGAATTAACAATTTTTTGAGGAAGCTTGAAATTTTTAACAGCTACCAACATTAAAAAAAATAAATGTTAATTTTTCTATGCATTCGTCACCACATAAAATCACTTGAATATATTTTATGTCAAAAATTTGGGGGGGAGGGGGTTATAGCCCATTCTTTAACAATTTTGTATCATAAATTTGAATAACAATCCATTTTTGCACAGCTTTTTTTTTCATCTGTCATATTATATAGAAATTTTTAATGGTTTCTGTGTTTTCAAATTAGGAAATATATGCAGAAATTTTTTTAAATGTTTGTTTTTGTGTAAATTGAATGTAATAGTGCTTATGATATTATGAATGTGGTCATTTCTCCAAGTGCACCAACTTTTTTAGAGGCGCTTAAGGAAATGTATGAAATATCTTGTTAAATATAATTATTAGAGCCCGGATTTTGATGACCTAAAAAATCTCTACTAATGCCCTTAAGAAGTGCAAAAAATGCCCTTAAAAAGGGCAAAAAATGCCCTTAAGAATCCAAAAATTGAGCAAAAAATGCCTTAAAGAAAGTAAAAATATTGAATTAAAAAAATGTTTTGCTCTTTAAAATTATTATGAGTCCAATACTTGTTCTACGTTCATTAAAGTTTGAAAAATTCGTTTTATATCCTAAAATAGCAAAAAAAGGAAAATATATTGATACCAAAATATTTTTATTTTGTATAGAAACTTTAATGGATATAAAAACTTCCATCTCATAATATTACTAAATATCAGAATTACATTGGATTATTAAATCTTTCTTGATAATTTGAAATGTAAACGAGTGTCTCTTGTCTGAAAGTAAATTTTCATTCCTGCAGAAGCTTCTTTCAACGTCTACTGATGTTATAGGTGCGTACTTGAAAAAGACGGTCTCACTTACTGACAATTCTTCTTCAATTTGAAAAGATTTTGCTTCACCTGTTAATATTCTATAGATTTTCTTCATTGTTTGGAAGCCAGTGTAATAATGAAAATTGATAAAAAATAATAAAAATTAGAAAAAATTAATCAAAAAACTTTAAAAAATGCATTAAAATGCAAAATACGCCCCAAAATTTAAAGAAAATTGCCCTATAAATCTTAAAAAAATGCTCTAAAAGACAAAAAATGTCCAAAAATGCAAATGTCATCAAAATCTGGGCCTTAATAATTATGAAGGTCAGTTATATATCGATATAACGCTATATGGCATCAATGCTAGAAGTATTGATGAAGATAAATATTTTAAATGATAGCATTGTTATTGACTGCTCCAAAACAACCAATGATTTGCTTAAACAGCATTAAAAGAGTGAAATATTCAGTAAATATCTCTGATTTAAATGTTAATAAAAATAATTTAAAAATTTAATTGTTAGTGTGCCAATTTTGTAGATTTTTTGTCTCTGTAATAGTGAGGTATAGTTAAATTTACATGAAATCTATTTTAAAGTTTCTGTATTTATGAAAGTAATATATATGAACTATCTAAGAACAATAAAATTAGCTTTCATTATTATACTTTTTATTAAGTATCAAAACGAAGCTATATTTTAAGAAATATATGCACATAGCAACTCTAAGCTTGATTTTCTTTTAAATAAGTTAATATATAGTCATTTCTTTCATAACCTTCTCCTTATTTATTATGGGCTTTTATTTGTTGCTGTTATATCAGAATTTGTCTCCGTGTATTTAAGATGAAATTGATCTTCATTTTCTTTTAAAGTATAATTGTTATTAAATACTTGGTGTTTATAATTCTGAAATAGTAAACTTCTTCAATGAAATTTTTCTAAGTAAAGAATGAGGTGTCTGAATGTATATGAATGAATTTGAATGTATATTAGAATTTTAGTTTGTTGTTTGCTTTTTTTAAAAAAAGAAATTTGTTGTGTCTATACCAGGGTTGGAGTTTTTGCCGGCAAAAAGGGTTTTTTGCCAGGACAGTGGCAAAAACCTGGTAAAAACCGGCAAAAACTGGTAAAAACCGGCAAAAACCAAATTATCTAAATTGCTGATTAAATAATTACAAAATACTTGAAACAAATTTAAATCAATCATAAGGAATAATAATTTTGATACATTACATGAAAAAATTATTTTTAACATATTAATAATTAATATAAGGGTAATAATTTTTAAAAGATTGAAAGTTTTTGATCTCTTTTCATTTTAGAATCCTAAAATAAATGTTTTTTTTACAAATAAATAAATATTATTATTTTTATAATATTATTATTTATTATAAAAAATTTTATTTATTATTTGTACAATAATTAACTACACATGTTGATAGATATTTTATGCTTTAAATTATAGTTATATTAATTTAAAATAAGTTCATTTCACTTGAAAAAAGGGAATAATCACAAATTTTCCAATCAATAATGTTTTAAACTACTAAAATGATATATTATTACATTATCATTCAATTATGGAATAATAATTTTGTTAATTTTTTTGTAATTATTTATATTCATAGTATATATATCAATTTTGTATCAAAAATGTGTTTTTGTCCTCTCATCATGGAAAATATAGGTTTTTGCCAATTTGCTTGGCAAAAACCTGTTTTTGCCAGGACGGTTTTTACCGGTATTTACCATGGTTTTTTCCACCTGCGGCAAAATCTTGCCAACCCTGGTCTATACATTTCCAAAGCTCTCCTGATTTTTATTTTTAAAAAAAATTTACCCACAAGTTTTCTTTGGTTCACTATGAGGAGGGCTGCGGTATTTCAACCAAACCAAAAGAATGTTTTTTTTTTTTAAACTTTGCATAAACTTATACCATTTATTACTAAAAAAAGTCAGATTTTATTAGAACTAATATTCAAAAGTAATGGAAAAGACGTATAAAATTGTTAATTAAGTACTACATTGACATGATAGTATGTTTGAAGCAACGACTTTAACCTTACAATAATTAAAAAAATATTTTTCACTACTTGAAAATCAGCTTATTTTAATGCAGCATAAGTAGATAAAGAATATAAATAGAAAACAATTGTTTAATTGTAATTGTTAACAATTGTTTAACTTTTTAAACAAAAATATTAATTGTTTTGAACAAATCGTCTTCAGTCTTGCAGAAAATGCTAATTTTATGAAAAATTAACTCAATTTTAAAAAGTTATTAATTTGTATCAAATTAAAGAGCAATTAGAATGAATTAGAACAGGATTGAAATGGATTTGGAACAGTTTCAGACAAAAATGTCCAACTTTGAAGCAAATATCGAGTGACAATTACAACATTAAAGTCAAATAATATTTTATTAATTTTTAGAAAAAGTTCTCTTAAGAGGAAATAAAATTAATGAAATAACATATTTTTCTTATATTATTTTACTTAATAGTCATCAATAAAAATCTATTTTAATACATATATGTTAATTTTGAGTTATAAAATATTATAAACTCCAGGTTTTCATAAATAAAAGCTGTTTTTTTTTTTTTTTTTAACAGAAACCAGGTATAATAAGTTCTATCAGAATTTGTCTTTTGTATTTTAATTTTTTTGTTTTGGATTTTTTTAAAAAAATAAGCATCCTTAAGCTTCTTGTTTTATTTATTTTTATGAATGAATTAAAATGTAGTGCATTCATGTAATATACAAATGTGTTAAATTTTGTTTACAATGTGTACTTATATAAATTCATTATTTAGATGCTAATTATTGAAATACAGAAAAGGAAGTTCAGTTGGAAGGCATTGTGCATTAAAAGTTATATTTTGTACTACAAATTGTTTTTACTGTATAAATATGAGATGACGTTTTTCTCTTCTTATTATTTCACAACTAAATTGAAATAAAATTACATGCAGAAAAAAGAGACACGTTTAATATTATTATTACATTTTATATTTTTTTAAAAAATCTTTCTGCAAGCACTAATCAAAGTTTTAAAATAGTTATTTTTCTGTTTTACGTTTGATTAAAATCAGGGTTTAAGCTGGGTTTAACAGTTCTTTAGCAAAAGAAGAAGAAAAAAAAAAACTAATATCAGAAAATATTTGTAGAAAAAAGATAAAATGTCCTTATGCTTAAAAAATGAGACTTTGTGCACCATTTTAATTTTAGATGCTTTTTCATTTGTAAACTTAAAATTTAATTTCAAAAGCATCAGGAAAGTTGAAAAGCGTTCAGTGAGCAAAAATGTAGCCAATAAAATGAAAGTAAAAAAAGGAATGAATTATCTTTGATTATCTTTTAGTAATAAAGGAAAAGAACATTGGGAACAAGAGGAACAATGCACAAATTAAATGCATATATTGGGGTGATAATCTAATATATATAATACTCTTACGTGGCTCCCAAATTTTGGCTGTATTTCTTTTCCTTCGGTGGCAATGTTTGCTTTGTTTTGTTTACGTTTTGAAAACACCAAAGCATTCTGCCTATTAATGATGTGTTTCTGGTCTAATATATATAATTCTCTTACGTGGCTCCCAAATTTTGGCTGAAGTACTTTGTACAACTAAATAAGATTCTTTTCACAACACTTAAATATTTACTTTATTTTCTTCATTTATAGAGAAAACAGTCAGCAAAGAATTCTGTTAGGTTAAAAAGCATTTCGCTGAAAAAACAACGAATTCTAAAAGAAATAAAAATAAACAACTTAAAAAATAAAAATGCTGTTGCCAGCCATAGAATTTTTTGACAGTTAACTTAGCAACATAAATCAAAATGACATAGAAGTGCAACTAGATCAAAATTATGATACCTGAGCGCTTGACGTAACAGATCCTTCAATTCTATAAGTGATGTATCGCCAAATGCCCAAATTAACAATTGTGTTTTTAAAGAAATTCTATAAAGTTTTAAATAAACAACCTACTTCTACAACTGCTTCTTGAAGAACTTGGCTCCATTGATTAAAAATATTGTTTTAATTTTACAGTACTAACTTTACTTCTACTTTCATTATTGCTATGACCCTCTTTCATTACATTTTACAACTTCATGCTAAATTTGAGGACTTGTTTTGTGGTTGAATACTGACATTTAGAAATGTGTACATAAAAAATAATAATATTTAGAGGTTAAGATTTGCCTCAGAAAAATTTGAATTGTTGACATTGAATTTAACAATGGAAACAATCGTTTTTGTGAAAAATTGTTGACATCAAAACTAAAAATATTGTGTTTCAACCTAACAATACTACCTTAATTTATACTTTAGAATTGCCTCGCAGTTGGCGAGCGCCAGCGAGCAGGTGGCGAAGCCTCCTAGTTATATATATATAGTTGTGGAAATAAAATATTTGTACTAGACAGGGAAATTATTTGAAAGGGTGTTGGTTTTGTCTTCCTTTCTATTTTTCTGAATCTTCATTCTGAAAATAATTTTACTTTAAAGAAAATTTATATTTGCTTGATGCAAATTAAAGCTGAATTACATCTATTCATATATAAATGCATTTGTGTAGCATATTTCTATTTGTAAATGTTATTATTAAATTGTTATACAATATACTTTGCACCTATTTAAATGTTTATTTATTGATTTGTTTGTTTTTCAGGAGATGCTATATTAGTTTTTGAAGTGGAATTAGTGAGAATCGAACGAAAATCAGAACTATGATTTTTATATTGTGATTAATTATTCCTATTTTTTTACTGTGATTACTGAAATCTTAATTTTGAATACGTAGATATACTTATTTTGATAATGCCAGGCACTTACGCAAACTGAAACAATATTTAGTATTTGCCATAATGTTTCTGTAACTAGCTATAGCTCAAAATTCACTTTCAACTACTTGCAAGTTGGTGAAATTAAACCAATTTTCATTAAAGTTACAACAGATTAAAGTTGTAACTTATTGTAATACATTTAGTAGTTATGAAGTCATTTGAATCAAATTTAAATTTCATTTTACTTGGTAGTAAAATAAGTAATATTTAAAGAAAGCTAAGCTTTAACATTAAATGGTCTGTAATTATTGTGTTCACAAGGGTATTTATTCTCTAAGTGAAAATTGTATATCAAAAGCAGTATCAAAAATCACTGTATCAGGGGTGATTGTGAGCCCAAGTCTAAATTCCGGAAAATTTCTTGAGTAAAAAAAAAAAAAAAAAGTTGAAATCGAAAAATTAGAAAAAAATTTAAACAAGGTTTTTTTCCTTTTTCTCAATATTTCTTAGTTTACTTAAAATATATTTAAAATTTTACAGATACCTATGATGACTTGGAGAAGTAATTCAAATTTACAAATATGTCTTTCTTTCTTGAGTTTATGATTATAATAACTATTTACTGATAAAAAATGAATATTAATCTTGAATAAAAGCTTATAACGTAGCTCTCCTTACAAACAAATAAAATAAACTGCGTTTTTAAGTTCCACCTTCGAAAATTTGATTTCCGAAAACTTTTGTGATCAATGATTTTTTGAAACATCTGAACCTTCGCTCTCCGGAAACTTCCGGATCACGGTTAGCGAAATATCCGGAAATCCGGATTTTTTCCGGAGCACAATCAGCCCTGCTGTATGGAGTTATTTTGAAGAGGTGAAATCATTGTTACCCAAAGCCCTTCAAATATCCATCTTTTGTAAAATGAAACTAATTCTGTTTTTTTTTTTAAATTTCAGTGTAATTACTACTTCCCCAGTAATTGAAACATTAAAAGCTATTTAAGAGTGGCATAAAAGTTGAATTAAAACAATTATTAATAGCAGAAAAGATTGTGTGAAAAATACATGATAGTATCTTATTTTATGCATTACAAAGCGATGTGTGCAGTAAAAAGAAAACAACATTAGTATTAAAATAATATTTACAGCATGCAGTCCTAAAATTGGCTCACTTTCGCAGTCGGTAAACATAATAACTTATAAGATAAAACAATAAACTGAAATGCAGAATTTCATACTTTAAACGTATTCTGTTTATTCATAGTATATTTTTTACTATTTTCGTGCAATTACTCTATTTCTGATATAAATGTTTACCAGCAAGTAATATTTCCTCCATTCTTCAATATTTTAGCTTAATAGAAGATCATGTGATGTGAATCATTCCAAAACTTATTAATTTTTCAATTTAATTTTATTTTTCCATTTTATTGTTTAATGAATTTATCTGTCAAATTGTAGTCCTCACACTTTATTGTTGTTTCCACTTTGAAATGCATATCTAAAAAAGTGTCTCCCATTTCATTCCAATCTGTAAAAATTATCTTTTACTATCAAATTACTTAATATGCATTTTCCAACTTCTTGTATTGTTGTATAGCTTTTCAAATAATTATGAACTATTGTTTGTCAATTTCTTTTATTTTATAAAGCTAATTCAATTTAATCCGAAATTTATTGAATGAGAACAATATTTAATATTAGCCTCAAATTACATTTCTTTTTTATTATTTATTTGTGATCATATTTAATTGCATGCAACTTGAATAACATTAATATATTTATTTCTTTAGATTTGTCTTTCCTTTTTTTGTTACTTATTTAGAAATATTTTTATTCAATAAGTAAATTAATTACTACATAAATTTCATTTATGTTTGCATCGTTAAACGACGAAAGATACGTAAAAATATCATTTTAAGCACTGAATTTTGTAAAACTTAAATACAGCCATTTGCTCTTTAGAAATGTAAGATCAAAATGTTATTTATTGAAATCTACTTATTATTTCTTTTAATGGAAGTCAATAAAACATTTTATATGTGTGTTGTCACACTATTTCTGAATTTCTTTTTTAGTGTTGATGCGTCATATCCATTTATATAATGTCATCTTATTTTTAGTAATATTTTGAATACAGCTTATAAATTTTAATTTTGTTAGACTTAATAATTATGTTTCATTTTTTAAAACATAAAAGAATTAAATAAGATTAAGGCAAAATGTGCAGAGAAGCTAGTTGAGATCATGAAGCAATCTTAACTTATTTAAATTTATTACTATCTGTACTTTTTCGTATTGTAATACGAAAAAGTTCATATGTTAATAAAGCAAAAAATGGCACATTCTCTGTTGCAAGGGTGACATTAAGAAATAAAAATATATTTCTTTTAGTTGTTTGTGATGTTTTAAAAACCTTTTCTGAGCTTTTCTTTTTATCAAATAACCTCTCGGATTTTTTTTTTTGCGGCCGGCCCTGATTGCATTACTAACTGGTTGTAATATTTTCTGAATTTGTTGAAATTGTATCAACTGTTAACTACATTAATTGTTCAGCATAAAAAGTATTTAGCTAATTCAAACTTATGTAAAACAAACTCCATGATGTCATGCTTGAGAATTTGTATTTGCCCATGTAAATGGAGGGAAAAACAACGGAAAAAGCAACAAGTAAAAAAACACTGGAATGAAAAGAAAAGAAAAAAGTATGGGGGAAAAAAGTCATTTTCGCTACACAAAACTGAGCCCAAAAATTTAAACATTCAGTAAAATATTATTTTAAAAATTAATTCATATGTAAAAATTAGTTTTAAAGTTTATGGAAAAGAACTTAAATTAAATAATTAGAAATCTTAAGGAGTTCAAAAATGCTCAAAATTCCAATAATATCAACTTTTATTATAATTGTGTGTGAATAAAATTTTAAAAATTGTCTCAGTGAAACGCTTTATCAGCTTTATTAATAACTTAAACTTCAAACACTCTGAGAAACTGCAATAAATTGTTATGATAATACCATCAAAGATGTTACAAAAGGAAAAAAATATACATAAACTTTCAAACCAGTTGTGAAATTCAAACAATTATTAAAACAAACACATTAATACTTTGCAGGTCAGTTCTACAAAACAAAATCTTAGAGACTTTTATTCGGACTATATTTTCCCAGCATTTTTTTTTCCTTTATGATTCTTTTTTATGATAATTTTATCTTCTGAAATTTAGGCTATGCAAAATATTACTCTCAGTTAATAGTGAAGTAAATAAGGGATTTGCATTGTGTTCATATGTTAGAATGTAAAATTTAAAAAAAAATTGAGTGATTAAATAAAATTTTGTATTGATATTTGTGTTTGCTGGATTATGGATGTCCCCATATGCTTTGGGATGTGAACCCCAGTTTACCATTACAATTTTTAAATACAGAAAATTAAATAATTGTTATAATTTAAAAACGGACTAAAGCTAAAATTTAAAAAAATCCTACCCAACTATATAATCTATATTTGATATTATAATAATTTCTTGTCTCCACTTTCACCATTAAGACTTGCCAGACGAAAATTACATAATTATAAGTCTTAGGATAAGAGATTCTAATGATAATGGGCAAAACCTTTTCAATTAGATTATGAAGCTCGAGAGATATAGTATCATAAAATGCGCAAAAGAGTGAGATAAATTTTAAAGTATTCTATCTTTTGCCTGCTACTCTTCTACTTTAACTATTTGGATTAGAGCAAAACGAATCATCTAGTGATTCGAATCAATAGAGTCAGTTTACTTTGATGATTCGAATCTCTTGTTTTTATCGAAATAGATTAAAAATTATAATGAATAATTATTTCTTAAATTACAGTTAGTTTTGTTTCATAGTGATTCTATGTCATATAATGTTAAAAATTTCTTGTAAAACCTAAGAGATTCTTATGCATTCATTATTAAGAACTTAAAATTTTCCAATTAAGGAATTCGATGAATTCAGATAAAAAATGAATCTAAAAAATTTTTTCTTTTGTAGTTTCTTAATTTTTGCCACAGTTAAAAATCTTTATAGCAATTAGCAACATATACAATAGAATTATACGAAAGATTTAATAAGTATATTTAGTTACACTCGTGGACAAAAAATTAGCGCACCAAGAAGGAGTCGTCAAAATGAAGCGAAATTTTACATACGTAATGACTATACTTTGATATAAGTAAATGATTAGAAAATCAAAGATAATCGATTTTCTAATCATTTACTTGTATCAAAGTAGTCATTACGTATGTAAAATTTCGTTCATTTCGACGACTCCTTGGTGCTCTTAATAAGAAAGAATAATATTTTTCTTTTCTATCGACATTGGTTAAAAGAAAAAAAGTGATAGGTAGGTAAACATTTTTCGAATATTTTTCAATTTCGAATTTTGTTGAAACATTTGATTTGAATCATGTAATTCGCAATTAAGTCATTACTCGAATCAGTGATTCAAATTACTAGATCTGAATCACTTGATTTGAATCATTGTTCAGAATCACATGATTCATGTATTGATCCGAATCAGTGATGTGAATCACTTCATAAGTATCAGTTATTCGAATCATTTGATTTGAATCACTTAATTCGAATCATAGATCAAAATAGCATGATTCAAATTACTGATCTGATTCGAATCACTTAATTTGTATCATTGATCCAAATTACATTATTTGAATCACCCGATTTAAATTATTGATCTGAATCACTTGATTTGATATCATTGATATGAATCACTTCTTTCGTATAATAATCAATATCACATTATTCGAATCACTTTGTGAGTCACTTGATTTGAATATTGATCCAAATCATTGATGTGAATCGTATGAATTGAATATTGATCCAAATTACGTAATTCAAATTAGCAATCCACGTCACGGTAATCTGAATCACATGATTTGAATCACTGATCTGAATAACTTGATTCGAATATTGATCCAAATCATATAATTCTAATAGTGATTTGAATCATGGTTTGGATCAAGGATTCCAATCAATTGATTCAGATAACTGATTCAAATCAAGTAATTTGGATCTCTTTTCGAATCAAGTAATTAAGATCAAGTGTTTCGAATCATGCCATTTGGATCAATGATTCAAATAACTGTTTTTTATGAAGTGATTTAGATCATTGCTTTGAATCATTTTCTTCGGATCACTATTTGAATAAAGTGCTTCTGATTTATGATTCAGGTAATGCCATTTGGGTCAATGATTCGAATTAAGTAACTCAAATCAAATGATTCAAATAACCGATTCTTATGAAATAATTTAGAAATACAATGACGGATGGTAAATGGAAACACACTTAACGAGTCTCTGGTAAACACTATGAATATTCATTGTAGTCAGCCACCAGGGGCGGATCCAGAAAATTTTCCTGCTCCCCCAGAAAAAATTTCTGGATCCGCCCCTGGCGGTCATAGGCTCAGATTCCCCCTTAAATAATTTTTAAAATATTTTATTTCTTTTGTAAATTATTAAAAAAATTATTTTTTTTTCTTTCAATTTTGACAGGTCATGCCCCNCCCCCCCCCCCCCCCCCGCTGGATCAGCCACACATCTCCATGATAAACCAGCTTCGTTTATGCGTTCAATAGCCTATTTACAGTAGTGAATGTTAGTAATGCGTTCCTGCATTGTTGTAGGTGTTAAGAGTGTAAAAACTTGTGAAGGAGAAATTTATGTATTCCCCATGCTTGAAGGAAAATTTTTGAGTATTCCCCAATAGAGTTGGGCAAAACGAATCATCAAAGAGATTCGGATCATTAGAATCAGTCCAATTTGATGATTTGAATCAGTGATCACTTATTCGAATAATATGACTTAAACGACTTATTTATTATTTGCAAATCAAATGCTTCTAAAAAAATTCGAAAAAGTTTTCGAAAGTTAAGTTAGTTAAAAAAAAGTTGTAATAGGTAATATCACAACTTTTCTTTTAACTAATGTAGATAGAAAAAAATGTATTATTCTTTCGCATTATAATGAAATTCTTTCAAATAAATAAATATACTCATTGTATAATAAGTATAATTATATGAAACATATATATATCTTATCTTTCGTATACGTTGTTAATATGTTTTACGAGAAATTTTTAATTGTATATGAAAAAGCATCACTGTGAAACAAAACTAACTGCAATTTAAGAAACAATTATAATTTAAATCTATTTCGATAAAAACAGCTGATTCGAATCAGTTGCAAGTTGGTGATTCAAATCTCCGAATCATTTTAGCGGATTCGAATAATCGAATCAGTAACTCAACTCTAATTTGGATATTTTTGAATTGCGGTAATTCAAAAATACTTTTGAAAATAAGAATCAAAATCTATTAGAAAATTGTATGTTTATTTAGAGATAGCACATTTTTGTTTCTGATTTTTTAACTTAAATTATCGCTTGCACAAACTAAGAAGCATTTAGGCTCTCGAACCATTGAATCGTAGTATGAGAAAAAATTATCATTAGGTTCAAAAGTTATTAAGATTGTTCACTTTTTTGCTCTCTGTAAACATCAGAAATTTTTCGAAATTAATTCAATAATTTAATTCAAACTATACAATTTTTTGACACCCGCTATCTGGGAAAAATGACCAGGATAATTTGGTCAGGAGAACCCTTTAATGCTAATTTTACTTTCTGAGCATTTCGTCGTGTCTCGAGCAGGGTTCGTGATTTTTTAAAAATAAATCAGATTTTTTTGATTTTTACTCAAATACATTGCAAGAACTTTATTATTTATGATTAAAAAAACTTTATAAATGTTTAATCAAAATTAAATTAATATTAAAACTATATTATAACAATATTTTAGAAGCTCTCTAACTTACTAAAATAATTTTTTATTATAATACGCTTGAATGCATAGCAACCATACATAACTTTGAATACATAGCAACCATTTTGAAACAAATGCATGATTGAAATTTAAAGACTAGGATCAGGAAAAAAATATCTGAATTCATCAGCCTTTTTCTTTTTTTCGTTCCATTTTTGGCATATTGGGGTAATTTCTTTTTAATATAACCTCAAGATTTAGAGATATACATTTTCCACCAATAAAATTTAATATAGATTTTAATTCCATGCTTTTTCAATCAAAAAGTAGAATTTTAACTAACATTTTATTTACATTTTTTTTTGCAATTTCAAAGTTGTTGGAATTTTACACACACCAAGAAAGAAATTTCGTTAACTAAAATTAATTAATACTGCACTTTATTTAAAATAAATTTTGAAAATAAGAAAAGAAAATAATAAAAGTATGAATAATTTAAAACACTGTTTTTAACTTTTAAAATCAATATATATACAAAAAAAAAATCAGTTGAATTAAATCAATGACTTTTTAAAAAAAATCATTTGATTTAAATCAACAAACCCTGGTCTCGAGCACATTTTAAGTGAATTTGAAAAAATTTTGGTCACAATTATACAGTGCTATAAATCTGAATCCACCATAAAAAAGGTATGTTTATTCAGAGCAAGTACATTTTTGTGTTAATTTTGTAACTTAAAATATCATTTGCCCTAATTAATAAGCATATTTTAACTCATCCCCTTGAAACATTGAGATTGAGTTTTGGAACGTGCAGATCCCATCATTAGATCAAAAGTTATTCAGAGTGGTCCTTTTTTTTTGCGCAAAGTATATCACAAAAACTTCAAAAGTTTGTCTTTATAAGAACTTGGGGAGTGATAAATTAGAAGTTTTATATTAATTCTTGTTATTTTATTCACAAACCAGAGTTCATTGTAGTTTAAAATATCTGAAAACACAAATTATGAAGACACTATATCATGAGAAAAACGCTTCATGGTAAAGTCTGTTTGACCTACAGTATTATCATTTAAAGCATAGAAAGTGTGAGTTAAAGAAAACCCAGAGTAAACCATAAAACTAAAAATGCTTTTTCCCCCTTCAAAATAATGCAAACAAATTATGGCAGGATTACACAGTAGAGAAATAATCCTGGCATAGTTTGTTTGCAAGTGAATTCCAGCATTTAAAACTTCATGGTTTACTCTTTCTCAACTCAGTGCGAACAAGTTATTGCAGGATTACAAAGTAGAGAAACAATCCTGCCATAATTTGTTTGCATTTGGATATTTTAAAAAGTGAATGCCAGCATTTAAAACTTCATAGTTGACTCTTCCTCAACTCAATGCAAATAAATTATGGCAGGATTACATAGTAGATAAATATTCCCGACATAATTTGTTTGCATTTGATATTTTGAAAAGAGAATTTTAGCATTTAAAACTTCATAGTTCAGTGAATTTCAGCATTTAAAACTGAATTTTAGCATTTAAAACTTCAACTCAATGGAAAAAAATTAAGGTAGGATAACAAAGTAGGGAAATAATCCTGCTATAATTTTTTTTGTATAACGATATTTTGAAAAGTGAATTCCAGCATTTAAAAATTCATATTTCATTCTTCCTCAACTTATCAACAATGCAAACAAATTATGGCAGGATCAATCCTGGCATAATTTGTATGCATTTCGATATTTTGAAAAGTAAATTCCAGCATTGAAAAAATCATGATTCACTCTAGGGTTTCCTCAATTCATTTTTTTTTTTCTTCGATACTTTAAATTACCAATAGAGGGGAAACAGAATTGATCATGAAAAATTTCTTTCATAATATGGCATACTCTTTTGATATCAATTAGAATATGAGACATGTAAAATGTTTCTTTTATTGGTACAAGGAATGAAGGTAAGTCACAAAATATCACACAAAAAATAATTAAATAAATAAAGTATTTTAATGAAAATTTGAAGTGTAACTCAACTTAATTCAATTTGAACTGAAAATAATGAAGCAAAATATGATAATTCAAAATAGATTGCATTTCATTTGGATTTTTGAGATCTTATATTATTGCAAGCTAAAACAGTAATTGTAAACGAAAAACAACTATAATAATAATCATTAAAAATAACTTTACAATAACATCTATTAAAATTTATGGTAAGATAATTAACATTTTGAGTCAGTGTTCTACAATTAACCACAATTCATTAAATATTAATATATGCCCAACAGAAATATTAGTTTCTTTCAAAACATAACATCTTTTACTGAAGAAAATACAAAATTGGCTAAATATGATATATACAGGGATAAGATTGGCCAAAAGGCAAAAAAGATGAGTAAACGTGAGTAAATGTTACGTGAGTAAATGTTACATGATTTATAGCAAAAATATCAGTAACATTATATTCATTCAGTTTTGCTAATGTTGTAATGCCTACATATAGCAATAATCGTTGATAGAAAAACTGCCACGTTATTGTAACTAATTCAAGAAAAAAACTTTTCACAAGAATTGCGATAAAGGATTTTAAAATCGCGTGCATACAAATAGCGATTTTGGATTTTAAAATCGAGTGAATATAAATCACGATATTAAGATCACATGACTGAAACTCTATATTGGATTTCAAAAATGTGAAAATACAAATCATGATGTATAATTTTCAGATCGCATAAACGCGAATTACAATGCATAATTTCTAATTGGCGTGAATACGAATCCAAAGCCTAATTTTTAAATCAAGCGTAAATACGAAAGTAAATGTTGGATATTACAACTGCAAAAACAAATCACCATATTGGATAAACTCACGTTAATACGAATCATTACACAGAATTTTAAAAACGCCTCAATACAAATCGCGATATTGGATTTTTAAATCTCGTAAATAAGAATTGCAATGGACAATATTGAAATCGTGTGAATGAGAATTGCAATGTGCAACTTTTAAATCAGGCAAATACGAAAATCGATGTTTAATATTAAAATGCAGCGGCGTCTGGATTATGAAAATACAAGCTATCTAGTAGACGGGTAAAAATGAGGGAAAATCTCATTTTCTGCACAATTAGTAAAAGCTAAAATAAGTAGAAATGTTGAAGAGTTGGCTGCTACGTAGTTTGAATTCTCTATATATCTTTAGATATATTATATCTATATAACAAATCGGAAATAAATATAATTATTTTATTTCAACGGCTGAATTTTCAGAAAAAGCGGAGTATTTAAAATAAAAACTGAAACTTTTAGAGATGTTGTTGTTAATTTGCGTCACACTAAAGCTGCACAATGGGCTATTGGCGGCGGTGTGGGAAAAATCCCGGAGGATGATCCGAAGACGAAAAACTTTTAGAGAATCGGAGTATTTGATAAAAAGGCTGGAATTCAAGAGACAAAAGCGAAAAAGGCGGAAATCTAGAAAAATCTTATCCCTGTATATGCAAATAAGCAAAAGAAATTTTTGCATAGTAACAATTTAAAATTTATTCTTTTCATACAACTTTCAATCAAATATATAATGATATCGTCCAATTTTTAATGATTAGCAGATTTATAATAATAAAGAAGCTTAAAAGAAGACATAAATAAAATTTACAGTTAAATAAAGTCACATAATAAATTACATAATCCATTTTATCATAAAGAACATATCTCAAGGAATGATTTAACACTTAGCCTTGCAGTCATTCCATGTAATTTGCCAAGCGGCTTAATTTCTCAACAGAGCTGATCTGAATTTTTTACAACACTTGTACAAGGAAAGAGAAATTTTCTTTTCTGCTAGTTGGTATAAATGGATGATTTTCTGTTGTTTAACCAAAATGAATGACAATGGACAGAAATGATTTCATTGTTTTATGTTAAAGAATAAATTCATTCAACAATTAAATACTGCATAGCTTGTCTTAACTTGTGCAATGAAACTTTTTCCTAGGAAGCTGAATCATCTTGCTGCGTAATTTCTTTAATGAAAAAGAGCTCATTTTTTTAATGATAGAATTAGATCATACAAAAATACTGTTGGAAAATTTAAATTAAAGGATAGTCTTATAAAAGCAAAGTTTTGAAAATTAATTTTGGTTAAATTATGATTTATTTTATAAAATACAAAGATAAAACATATATACTAATAAAAACTATGCAAAATACTTAGAAAGAAAAAAAAATTTTTTTTTTTTAAAGATACGTTTAGTATGATGAACATCAATATAAGGCTCCAGAAATTCTCATCAGTTTTGCTATAACTATTTTCATTTATTTTATTTTCAAATAAAATAAAACTATGTTCAGGCACAACACTATTCTAATAATCAGAAACAGCTAAGTCATTGACAATTTAAAACTCTTAATAACAACTACAGTCACTGAAATCAAGAGAGAGAACAAACATCCTTATAATGCAATCTGAATTAGAGAGTTGAAAAAGGTTGGAAGTTCTACTTGAAACAGTTAGAATTGCTATCAGTGTAAGAAATATTGTCAGAAATATAGGTTATATCACTCATAAAATGCTTCCAGCCAGACGTCGTTAAGCTCTGAATAGAACATGCAAAATGCTGCAAAACATGCTTGCACATTACGCAGAAATATGGACACCTAATGCCATTGGTAAACTTAGATGTGAATAAACAATTAAACATCACAGAAATGCCAAAATAAAACCATGAATGAAAAAAAAAATGCATCACTACAGAAATCGCTGGTTGTACAAATTTTGCTACTTATACGTGGGCGTGAAATAGAGGGATATACAGAGAGTATGAAAGTATTGGAGTTTCTTTTTAGTCATTACACAAATTAATTATTAGCTAAAGAGCCATTTCACCACTTATGAATGTAAAATTTTCAAACTTTAAAAGCACATAACACAATTAAAAAAAAAAAATCAAGCAGATCTAATAATTTTTGCTAAAATTACTCTTGAAGTCATTTATATTTACCAATATTTTTATTAGTTTAAAAGATTTTTGAAACTTAAAAACTAGGCACTATATACATACAACAGTGTAAAATATCTGTAATAAAGCCAATTTTTAATTTATATAAAAAATAATTTAAATTTCTAAAAGTCAATAACAATTCTAATAAGTATAAATGATACCAAGAGTTACTAGCAAAATTTTTTTAAAACTGCAATTCAAGTCTGCAAGTATCATCATAACTGTAAATGATAAATTGTCTTTAGAAATAATAACTTGGTAATTAAAATTTACGAGATAAATTATAATCAAATAATTAAATGAACACAAAATAATTTATTTTTAAGAATATTTATGAAGAAAAAAAAATTTACACTTTTTGTGCTTAATCTCAATTTGAAACTTTTTTCTAACAAGCTTAAATTATTCTGGACCACTTTTTTCTTGAGATAGACATAATCTTATCATTGAATCTATAATTTATTTTATACAGAAAGAATAATACAACATGTAGAAGATTGAATAGAATAATACAATGGAAATGAATGGAAAGTATAATACAATGTTATATTGCACAAAGTCTAATTTGCAATGAGATTTTTCTTTAGGAAACTTAAAACTATTACACAGTTTTTTTATTATTTAATAATAAGATATTTTATTATATAATAATAAGATATTTTATTATGTAATAATAAGACAAAATATAATAATAATAAGTTGGCTTAAATACATAAATTTTTTTTGTTGAAATAAGTATTGCATTGCAATTAAATCAATATAAAATAATTTAGAACGAAGAATAATTCAAAATCCATAGCCGACATTAACTTTTGATAAAACTTTTATTCAGGAAGAACTTAAAATAAGCAAAATATCCTTGTAATAATTTTAACTGCATATCTTTTCTTTGCACAAAATGTCTTAGATAAAAAAATTAAAAAATATAGAGAGATCAAAATAATCAACATAATTTAATCTCTTATCATAATCAGCATTATTAATTCACTTTTTATTGAGAAGAAAAAACATAACATTTTAACTGGTTCCTTAATAAAATCCAGGTAGGATTTTTGTAATTTTATAAAGCAAAAAAAGTAACTTTTTTTGTTAGCAAGATAACTCATTTCCATGAACTTTTGCAGTTTAATATTGCTAATTTAATAATTCGACATCATAAAATAAATAATCATCTTTTCATCAAGAATACTCCAACATTTTATCTCTTACGGCCCATCTTAGTTTCTGATGAGACTTTTCTCCGGGAGGTTTAAAATTATCCCAGAATTTTTTGTAATAATTGTACATAGCAACTGGATCACTTTTCTTTTTACGTGGTGGCTTAAGTGCATGCGTTTTTGATGTATTTGACAATGTAGAACGGGGAGTGGATTCAGGACTAACAGCGACTATACTGCCTGAAGAACTATTTGATTTAAATGACAAATCACTGTATGAATTTGTGGTGCTCAAGGAACTAGGATAACAGCTGCTAAAAATACTGGGAATGTCAACAAGCTCTTCTGTAACAACTGGTTTTCCATCTTTGTATCTAAGGATTTTTCGTTTCAATTTACCATCAACAACAGTAGAATTTAGAGATGTCTCGTTCTTGGATAAAGCATCATGATCAGAATCACTTTCTGCAGTTTTGATAATTTTTTGTCTCAATCGATTTCCTAATTTGTAATTGATCAATCGTTTTCTATAGTCACCTAAAATAGATTCCATCTTTGGCGAATCATCAATCTGTAAACTATCCATCTCACTCGATATTTCTAAAGATTTTTGAACTTCGGGAAGCCTTTCATTCTTAGGTTTAGAAATAGGTGACCTTGTATGCAAACTTTTATTAGTTTGAGAAATGCCACCTAATTGAGGCAGGGACTTACAGCTGATTTCCTCTCCACTTGGCAAAAACTTATAGCCCATTCTAACTCTATCTTCCTCACTAGAAAACTGCTCCCTACTCTTATTTTCAGAGACTGTATGATAAGTCTCATAATTTTCGTATATATTAGGCAAATTACGAGTCCTTAATGGTAAGTCATTAGTAGATATACTAACATCGGTAGAACTACTATATATCTTTGAAGATTTTAAAGTATGCCTAATATTTTTATTAGCAATTGCTTTGCTCTGCAAATCTGCAACATAACTACTATTTGAAAATGAATTCTCATTTGGTGAAGGATCGTGAAATAAACTTCGTTTCAACGAGTTTAAAGATATACTGTCTGTTTCGGGAGTTGTATAATTTTTTATTTCCTCGTGTGAGCCAGATATTTCGCTAGACACCACCATATCTATCAGGTCTTGTTTCATCTTTTCAAATGTCTCTTTTGAGACATCATGGATGCCAAGTTCATGGAGTTCTTTATATATCTCTTCATCGGTAAAAAGCGTTGAATCGTTGTCAGACATTGCAATTGAATTGCTGTTTCAATAAAAATAACTATTTCAACACATGGACGGTTTTCCAAGAATTCATTCCGTTGTATTGAAAATTTTCTAACAAAGATTGTTTGTTACTCATTTGTTATTATTTATTTGAATCCGTTAATTTAGTACGTTTCCGTGCGTTTATTTCTGTCCATTTTCAGAACTATTTTTAAACTTTCTCTTTAATTACGAACGTTGAACTCAGTGACGGGTTTAAACATTTGGAAAAGCACGTCTTTTTTTATTTTGTTTATTTTGATGACCCTGGTTTTGATCCGCGAAAATTTAAAATTAAAATCTAGTTTGTGAGAGAAACAAATGAATTGTTTTTAAAAAATTATACTGTATTTAAAATACTGTATTTTCTCTGTACATAGTTTAATATTTCAAATCTTTTGTTCGTTTTCACTTATATCTGATTCAACATATTGGATAGTTTCAAACGATTTTAAATTATCTCTTAATTGCAAAAGATTAAAAATGCATATATCAAACGATATTTGTAGAATATATCTTGTTCTTAGAGCTAATATTGGTAAAAGTTTAATTTTTCTATTATGTGTTAAATTTTATTACTTAATATAATTCACTTCATAATTTTACCATATCACTTTTGCTTAATGAATAAGTGGAGTTCATATGCTTAGGATTTAATTTACAGTTGATTGACTTCTTTTAATTTCCTACCTTTTTTAATAGAATTTATTTATGTCTTGTACTTATAGATTTATTATTTTGTTGATTTTTATGTGTGCATTATGACAGTTTAGTGTAAACAATCAGTGAAGTTTGTTGCAAAAAATTAATAATTTATCAATGAATAAGTTATATAAAGTTTTTATACGTTAATGACTAAATTTAAAAATTTTAGAATAAAATAGCGATCTATTATGTTTCATGATCTCTTGCTTCACTGAATGGTTACTTTGGGTTTAATTGCTTTAAATTAATTTGAACTCATTGATTAATATTTAATATTCGTAAAAATCAATTAATTTTACTGTTATATCCTAATTTCTTTTTAATTTGAGAGTCTAAATAAGGCAAATAATAACATTTTATTTAAAAAGCTTTTTCTCAATTTAAAAGAAAGAGAAGTCTTTAAAATGCTTTTAGCTGCACATTTAATTCCTTTGTTGAGTTATGGTTTAAAAGATTTGCTTGATTAAATAATTAATTGGTTCATTTTCAATTTATTCTTATCTAAACAATTTGAGGGATATATTTGAAGGTAAAGTGAAAATTTTAATGTTATCATTTATTTATTTAAATTTATTTTTTTGTTTTGGAAGTATAAGCAGCTAAATGATTCAGAAATTAGAAATCCTTCTATATTTGTAAATTTCAAGATTTTTAAATTTCACCTCAAGCTTCTACTCCAAATTTAACAAATCGGAGTTTAAAGAAAATATTGCTTAATAAAGTACATTTACAGGAACATTTTTAAAATAGATATGTAGATGTCCCTTCAAATTTTGATTAACAGTGATTCTGCTAGACTTTGAAAAATACCAGTCTTAAGTTTAATATTATCAAAACTAAGTATTTGAGTCTATTTTTATTTTTTAAACAAAAGCAGGCCCATATTAAAAATAAATTATGCTCTAAATTCAAAGACAAACATAACATAAAATACAAATTAAGCATATGTCTCAATTTCGAAGAATATTTTGTGCTTTTGTTGGGAGGGAATGGTGATACTGTATCAATTAATAATTCATAAAATTTATTATTTTCTTGCTTTTTTTTTTCCCTAATGCGAAATTTTGCTATTTTCATTCGTTTGTGTAATATTAGTTTTTAGAGAATATATCATTTTATTTTTCTAAGGCAAAAAAAAAGTATTTTTATGCAATACATTTTTGAAGCAGTATCATGAAAAAGAATTATTATAATGAAAATACATACATATTAAGATTAAAATTAAAAGAAAATTCTTTAAAAATTAGCAGTATTTATAGAGTTTGTATGGATAGTAGCAGTAAAAATGTATGAAGGTTCTCTCCTATTGTATTCTATGGAAAAAGGATTTATGTTATGTTTCTTGATAAAGAACTTACTTTATTGGTGATGAAAACTAACATAGAATAAAATATCTAGTTTATAATTAATTTAATTATTTTTCTAAATTTCGTTGACATAAAAATTTAAATAATTTTCTTTTTATTAGTTAACATATATCTGTTTATGTAGTGCTCATTTTTAATATTTTTTATTTATTTAACACTAGACTAATTAGGCATTATTCCATAAGATACTCATTAGAGAAAATATGAATAGTTTGGACATTTTATACTTTGCTCAAAAACCTCATGAATTGTATGCATTTCTTGGGTTAGACTTATAATAAATTGTTTTTATCTTTTACTGTGTTCTGCTGTATATAAAAACTTTTTTTGTATTGGTTTTATATTTTAACTTTTTTTTACTTAATTTTTTTTCTCAGAGCATTGGAAATGGTGTTTTTTCTTACTAAAAAGCTTCTGGATGAAAAGAATCTGCTGTCAAAAATATGGTTAGCTGCTCACTGGGATAAAAAACTTAATAAATACCAGATATACAGCATAAACATTGAAAATACAGTGAAACAGATAATGTCAGAGGAGGTACTTATATCTTCATTTTTTCTACCTGAAAGAAACTACTAAATGATGAATTTTGTCAAGTTCAGCTCTCTGATTTTTTTAAAAATATTAAATTATGGGGTTGGATTTGAACTAAACTTTCCTTGAGTACTGTGGACAGAGGTATGTTTGAAAGACAAGAATATATAGTTAGCTGTTAAAGATAAGATGTAACTTTACTTTTTCACATAATTAAAAAACGTGTTCGAACATATTTAATACTGTTTTATTAATTTTGAAAAGTCATTCAAGAAACAAATTAGGGTTACCGAAGAACTGTTGAACGGCTTGTGTTTAGCATTAATTCCGATGACATTTTTCTTCAGAACCAGAAATGATAAGGCACTGGATGTAACATCTGGACTGTATGGTCAAGGTGCCCCCACCCAACAGTTCCAAAAGGGTTTTGGGCTGCTTTCACCAAGTGAGCTCTCGAATTGCCACCTAACAGTAAAATGCCATGTTTGAAAAGGCCAGGCCACTTTTACCAAGTATTTACCAAAAAAAAAAAAAACATTTACTCATTGTTATTCTTTTCTTTTTAAAAATAATTTCAGATCTAGAATATTTATTTCAATTGTCACTATCATGTTAATATATGGTACTTATTTTTTGCACAAGCTCATTAAGAACTGAATTTGTAGATAATTTCCCATTTTGATTTAGAAAACGCAATAATTTTCTTTTATGTTTGTTTATTTTATTTATTATTTTTAAAAAAAAATGAAGTTATCAAAAATTTACAAAAATGAATTTTAAAATATTAAAAAATTTAAATTTATATATTTTTTAAGTAGATATATTTCAATCATCTGTATTATTAATTATTGTTGTTTAAATGAAGAAAAAAATTACTGAATTCTTAACTTTTAATTTCGAAAAATATATCTGAATATTCACACTTTTATGGGTCAAAGGTCTCAAAAACTGGATTATATCGTCTCTGGTGGACCCAATTTTTGTGATTTTTGCAAAATAACATACTATTGACATTTTATAAATTATTTAAATTTTCATATTTTAATGCATTTCTTTCATTATCATTGCGAACTTGTAAAAACAAAGGAAAGTTTTTTCTGGCATTATGTTTATTCTTTTGTTGTATATACTATATATGCTTTACATGAAATACATGTTGGGTCCCATAAGTCAAATATCAATTATTGTTGCATTTTACATGTTTAACATGAAATTTTCAAGCTGATTATAACTTAACATGAAAGGAAACTGGACACAGCACGGATAATGCAATCCCACTCATCCATTTTGAGGAATGCTATTTCTATTTTCTTTTGTTATAGGTAACAAATGAGAAAATAAACAAAATAGTAGTAAAAATAAAGTAGTTAAAGCTTTTAAGCTTATTTTAATTTGTTTGTTTCATGATATTGTTTGCATACATTAATGTAGTACATATTGTCGTAGGCCATTGAGGCAAAGGGGTGCAATTGTTCTTGTTTTCCAGTGGTGCCTTCTATGGCCAAGAATTCGACTTCTGCTGCACCCAAACGTCGCACCCATATTTGTATTGTGTGTAATAATTGAATTCCGAATAGTTTCATTATTTAAGTTTTGTTTTTCTTTGACTACTAAGTTGGATGAATGTTTTAATGTTTTTACTTCATTTCTTTTCATGTTTTTTAATAAAAGCGTAATTTAATACTAGAGTAAATTTCTTCCGTTTTGAAACTGTTATTCCAAAAAACTTTATTTTTAATCGAAGAAATGATAAAAGTTCCTCTAGAAGTTCCCCTCTTCTTACTTGATATTTTTTAAAATAAACAAGTTCACTAAAAATAAGTTACTGATTGGAATGACTTCCAAAAACTTTTTCAATTATTCTAAATGTGAATTAAATTTTGTAATGTCATAAATGTTCTATTACATTGATTACATGTTCAAGGGCAAACTATGAAGTTATGTGTTTATGCATCAAAGATTAATTTTAAACCTACGATTAATGTGAATAAAATGTATATTTTTTAACTTTTAACTGAAATAAAGAATAAAAAACTTAATTTTTTTTTCTTTTTAAATTGTGTTTTTAATTTCCCTTTGCTTTCATTATGTAAAGGAAAGTTTATTTCTTTTTACAATAACACACAAATCTCTACAATCCTAATGAACATAAAAACTCCCTGATATCTTATTTATAGGTCCAGTTTATGCAATTTACTGTGAAATAATGATTTTAAACCTTTCGATAATTACATTTTGTTTCATCTGAATTGAATTTTAGGTAATTTTTTTTAAAAGTATAACTGAAACTGTGATTTTGGACATTTAAAGCATGCTGAAAGAGTTATAACTTATGCTCTAAATGTTATGTCTATCAATAATAAGTATTTTCTAAACATAATTTTGTTCATCATTTTAGATTGTTCTTGATTTAAGAATCTCTGGACACTTGCTTTTTGGAATTGTGAGAATCTTTTCTCGAAAAACAATGTATTTGTTAAATGAGTGTAGCAGCATCTTTTCCAGAGTAAAGATTTACCAAACTGGCCTTATTGACCTTCCAGAACCAAAGAGAAAATTACCTCTTCTCTCAGCCACTCTTCCTGATAAATTTGAACATTTCAATGATTTTAATGGGGAAAGGTAAATTGGCTCAAAAAAATTACTGAAAAAATAAGAGTTTTTTTAACTATAATTTATAATTGTAATGTTAGCTTCAGAAATGTTTATAGGTATAAGTATAAACTACATTTTTTCCCCTTGATTTGCTGATACTATCAAAAGCTATTTACTTATAACTGAAAATGTGTGGCTTGAAAAACCATAAAACAAAAAGTAATGCTTATTTCTGCATGCTTAGGTGTAGAGTTAACAAAAATGTAGAATATCCTCGGGAAACACCCCTGGTTTTAAATGTTAATTTACCTATAACTTTCAGGAATTTGTAATATCATGAAAAGCTATTGTGTAGTTTTTTTTTCTTTATTCTCAATCTTAATTGATATTTAATTTACTTGATTATTTTGCTTTTAAAGTGTTGAATAATTAGAAGTAGAAATGTACTGGGTACCTGGCCTAACCCGGACCTGGTAAAAGAGTTATGATGCGGAGGCACACAAACACGGTTTTTTAGTCACGCGGCCCGACCAATTTTGCTGGGTATCTGGTGACGGGTAACAAGCATTTACATGCGACACAACCATATTTAGATTTATAGTAGCCTTAAAACTATTCATAAAAATAATTTTAGCTTTGGATGGGTATTCATATCTTCCATCTTCTTAATAATTTAGCTGAAATACTGATAAAGGCATTACATATTTTACTCTTGTGCAGAATTTTAATTCTATAAAGTGGACATACTTGGGTCAGAAAAATATGATTAGTAAAGAGACGTGTCTGCTTAGGTGAATGACATGCAAATTCAAAAATCAAACGCCGCAAACTATTCTGATTAAATTTATATGATACCTAGTTGATAAATACAAAGTTCAAATTAGGGAATTACATTGATATTTACTTTAAGTTATAAAATAATAATGAATAAATTTAAAAAATAACTTTGGAAAATATGATATATATATATATTACTCTCATATTAAATCTGCTTGCATCGAGTGAGTAAATGCAATAATATGTTTTTATTATTTGGGTTTGCAGGCTTTGTATTTTATAGAAGTATAATGGACCCCAGTTGCAAACAAAACACAAATATTTTCATATAATGATGCATTAATTATTCTAATTCAATTACTAATTTAATTCTTTAACAAAAATTGTCAACAAAATCAACAAAAAACTCAGTTTAAAACATTTTATTACATTTTCAGTAATAAAATGATTAATGTTTATTTTGGAAAGAAGCATATCTGAATAAAATTAGCCACTGGTAACTTTAATCTATAAGAAAATGTATTTCTTACTCATGAGTTGAATAAATGCAATTTCCAACCAGACTTTTTAAAGTTCCCTTCCCTTTTGACTAACCACAGATGTCCAACAATGGAAGTGTTTTCAAGATTTTTTTGTGTAACACAAACATCAAAGTTAATTCGTCCCTAGATCTAAGATTTACTGTATTTTTTTAGAGTTCAACATTAGTAGGATATGCGATAGAATCACAACTTAAAATAAAGCAAAATCGCTATATGAATCTTTTGTTCAACAATGGTAGAGTTGGTTGTTATCCTGATATTCTCGAATTTTGTGTGTGTTCAAAACATCTCATTTTCTGAAAATACAAATGTGAATTTTTTGTTGTTGTTATCGTTGGCCATTAAATCAGAGGGGTGCGACTGTTCTTGTTTTCCAGTGACGCCATCTATGGGCAAGAATTCAACTTCTGCCACACCCATACGTCACACCCGTTTATAGTGCTGACCTATTCATACAAACATTTATTCATCCACAGATCGCAATTTTGACCCAATCTCCAATTCAGTACCCTTGAGGCATAATTTGTTATGGGAACCTGACGGACTTTGTGATCCTACAGATTTAACATGCACCAGTCACCATTCACTACAAGGGGAGTCTTCGGCCGGCTGGATTCGAACTCCCGTTCTCATGAACTCCCTGTCTCCCAGGATGTGGATTTTTTTTTAAAACTAGATTTAACGAGTCAAAAATTTATCTTTTTTAATCTAACATTTTCTTTTTAAATTTTAATTAATAATTCTGATAGAAATCACAACATTTAATATTTTTAATTTAGAAATTGTCTACTAAATATATATATGGCTGAGGGATATATTTTTAGCCATAGGACTTTTTGTTTGAATCATTTTGGGAATATGAAATATGAATTGATAATTCTATGGAAAGGAAACTCGACTAATAATTTAAAATTAAATTTTACATCATCACATTTTTATGATGATGAATTCAGAGGTCATATATGCTTTTTTACTGATTACTCTGGAATAGTCAACTATTTAAGCTATGCTCAAAAACTTTACATTTTTATCAAAAACTTTATATTTATATGTTATAAAAAATTATTTTGAATGTTTTGTCTCTACTCATCATTAATAAAGAAATATTAAAGCTCTATTTTGTAAAAAAAAAAAAATTAAATTTATTTATTATTTTTATTTATTTATTTATTTTGGATAATTCTGTAGTTAAATTAATGTTTAAAATTCATTTTGTGTTTTAATTAATTTCTTATTTTTACATTCTACTCTTATGGTTTTAATTTTAATTTTTTCTTGGTTTTTAGATTGGATGAATTGCTTTCTAGTCATCAAAGCCGCACAGAGGATATCACCTTGAAAGAAACATATCACAATATTCATCTCATTGATGAGGAATTTGGTATTTTTTTTCGATGAAATTACTATCTCTGATATGATTAAATTATTTGTAAATATACAATCAGGAGTGATTTAGGAGTTGGTCAAATTTTTCTCCTGACATAAATATCAATCTGTTTATAGAAATAAGTACAGACAAGATGTTATTTAAGTTAAATAAATATAAATAATATGCTTAAAATGACAATTCATATTTTATATTATTTTAAATACAAGTAAAGTCAATGAAACTTTTCTGTATAAGGTGGTCATTGATAATAATAAAGCATAACATAATTACATATCATGATTTTTCAAAATTTTAATATCTTTGTCTTTCAGGGTTTTTCTTTTCTGACTCACATTTTCTGTAGAGATACATTAAATCTGCTTTTTCTAACTACATTTTGACTTGGAAATTATTATTGTGCAGTAATGTGTTTCGTAAAAAATATTCTAGTTCATTGAATAAAGATAATTTAAAATTGAGAAAATAACTTTTTTTTAAAAGCAAATCGATGTAATAAAAGTATCTGTGTTATAAAATCAATCTGCTGAATGGATGACACAAGTAATTGCCTGCATTTCCCTTTAAAAAAAATCAAATCTCTAAAGTTATTTTAGAAACGTATGTTTTTTTAAAATTAAATTTAAATTTTTGAGAATCTTAAAATTAAAATTTTTAATATTTTTGGAAACAAAATATTTTATTTAACTCTTTATTTATTTTTGCAATGTTTGTTTCAATTTTCAAGAAGGTTTGCGTATAGGATGGTAAAGAAAAAAAATTCAAGTACAAAATATTTTCTTAAAGAATATTTAAAGTAACAGTACTATATAGGCTAATTTAAGAGTAGCTGTAGTAAAAAGTGGCATATTTATGTTACCACCGGATATGTGCCAAACTAGAATATTATTTTTCATGATCCTGGTAGAACTCTATCTTGAAATTTGTCACAAACATTGCAGAAAGGCATTGCATTAAGTAAAAACAGTTTTTCTTTTTCAAAATTGTCAACAAAAAAATTAAAGATTGATAATTTTTGAATAATAGTTAAGTAAATTTTAATCTAATGTTTCAAAAAAATATTTGTTTAGAAAAATAATAGTTATTAAAAATTAAACAAAATGAAATAAATTTTAGCTTTTTAGATACAATAATTCTCAAGTTTCAGCTTTTTTTAAATTCTTTTTTTAAAAAAAATAAATCTAAGAAAAATTTTTGTTTTCAAAATTTTTAAATTTATAATTTGGTTATGAATTGTGAAAAGAATTTGAAACTTGATATGTTTGATGTAAAAAGCAGGTTAAACAGACATGCCAAAAAAAACAACAAAAAAAACGTTGAAATCTAAATTGTTGGTATTAATTTTTTTCTTTTTGATTTCTTCAATGTTGACTTACCCGATAGTAATATCTTCTTTTAACATGTATTAGGAAAGGAGACACTTATACTTTTAAATTTGGGAATTGCCATTATATATTTTGTTTTACTAATAAATGCATCTGTGTTTGCTAATATGTAATGATGAATAACATATAGTTTTTTTTTCTAAGTCCTTTAAAAAATTAAGGAATTTTTAAAATATTTTCGTTTAAAAGTTAAATATGAATCTTTAATGGTATTTGATTATAATAGTTTAAATTTACTTTTCTTTTACACTTTTTTAATGTAAATAGTATTTTCTTACAAAGTATGATTTCTGAAAAATAAAGAATTAAAGCATTTTAGAAATTTTTTTGCTATCATTTAGCAAGGTTGCCACAGATGACTAAAAAAAGCGAATATCTGCAACTATATTCACCCTGAGTCAACTATGGCAACCTCTTTTGCCTGAAAAGGTCAATTAAGCAACTATTTTCAGGAAAAAGAGACTATTGGGAGACTTTTTTGTGCTCCTAGTGATGCTTTTTTAGCATAAATTGGGTTGATAACCCTAATGAGTTTTTTCTTCAAAAAGTAAAAAAAAAAATTGAAAATTTTAAACAGCAAATTTGAGTTATCACTTTTTAATGCTCTCAATTTGCACAAATTCCAGTGTACGTCTATTTTGTATCTCGATCGCCTTTTCAACGGTTATTGCTACCAAATTCTGCAGGATTTTAAAAAACCCAATTTTTAATACGATAGTAGGATGTGTGATTTTCTAATTTGAATAATCACTTTTCATATATGTATGTATATTTGCTAAATCAATTATTGATAAAATTGAAAATTATTTAGAAAAAGTATGTTCTTTTAATAAAGTATTTTTTGATGGAATTCTAGTAATTAAAATATTTAATTTTCCTTAAATATACTAATTTTTTTATATAAAAATTTATTGCTAGAACACGTTTATAGAAGAATTATCATATCTAGAACCAACTTGACTAAATGGATTATGTTACATGACAACTAAGTCATTGATTAAAATTTTAATTATATTATTGAAAAAATTTTGTTCTTATTTTTATCTTACTCTCTTTGTTATGCTTTAGGCTACTAAAAGCAACTATTTTGTTCATTTTCTTCTGTGGCAACCCTAATTTTGCAAACAGAATTTTTTTTAGTTCATATATATTAAATGAATAATTTTAACTTGCATAGAAAAAAACTGTTTTATGCCAAGAAATAACAATTATTGCATAACCTTCATCTGGGTTAGTAGCCAACAGGAGGACTTACCCCCTAATGTATAATTATTTTCTGTCACTAAATTTGCTTTTTAACTTTAATTTGTATAGATGAGAGATTCTTCATTGAAATGAACCAAGGAACATTTGACGACAATGAAGAAGATGCAAATCTGTTAAAATTACTCCAAAATGATGAAGCAGAAAGAAATGGTTTATATTTATTGATATTCCTTGCAACTGATTTTAAGATACTTATGATTGAAATGTCACATTTACTGACATCAAGTGATTAAATATATAATAAATAAAGGATGAAGCTTTCTTTAATAATACTTTACAAAATTTGCTTTATATGACTAAAACAATTATAGTCATGTATACTTGAGTGAATAACACTAAAAGAATTATCAGAAATCTATTGCAAAATTTGTTTATTTAAAGTAATTATGATCCTTCTATGCAGGAGCCCCAAAAATTTTCAAATCATGGTTTCAACAGGAGATAAACTGTTTCACATCACTTCAATTATATCCTATACAGTAGCGTGTGAAAATTTTTGAACACCCTTTGTGAATTTTCAATGAAAAGCAAAATATGCATAGACAATAAAAAAAATGTATTGATAACATGTTTAGAAACAATATTTTAGTTTCATTAGTAAGAAGAGAAACAAATTAACACTGCATATATGTTATATGTAAAATTATAAGCTGCATATAATTTTTCTCTAAATTTTACTGTACACAATATGATATACATTTTAATAAAATGTGACCCCTTAAACCAGATCACAGCCTTACTAAGATTTGGCAATTAAGAAATCAATTGTTCACAGCTTAAATTTCTCCAGACATATAGAGAATCTTGTTACATTGGTCGGGGTCATTATGCATACTCTTCTGTCCAATTCATCCAATAGTTTTTTTATAGGATTTAGATTGGATTTTTGTGGAGGCCCTGTTATGATTTTGAGAGCTTTAAATATTTGACACAATACAGTATTGAGTTCAGAACAAAAATTAAAGATAAAAATAAATCAAAACAGTGATTTCAAAGTAACAGTAGGCCTACTAAAATGAATTTACAAGAAGCGTTAAAACCTAACAAATTAAAATGCACAGCAACCGCAAAATAACATAAGTCTCGCTGAAAATAATCTTCAATAATTATAGGATCCCAGGAGAGAGGGAAAGGGTGCATTAATAAATATGCATTTTGTTCTACATTTCAATGCTGATCCTCGCATGAAACCGTGACTTCTGATTCAATTCCCTCTTAGCCATTCAACATTACGAAACGAATACCATTTTCCCTAGCAAGTCGAAATCAATATCTTCGCAGCTAGATGAAATCGAAATTGTCAGCACAAGCAAAATCCTTGCTATGTTAAAAGGCGAACGTCTTCTTATATCGGCTGCTTAAACCAGATTTCAGATTCTCGCAGGAAACAAAAGCCGATTTATCGTGCAGTCCTAGATGTAATAGCATACTATGATAAACTATTTTATGAACTAATTTACCAACTTTTCCCCCTCACCCAAATTATCATGTCACCTCATGTCATTGTTAAGTTATTCAGGGAAATTCAATTCAAATTATCATGTCATTGTTTACGTTATTCAGGGAAACATGGTAATGTTTCCCTGAATAACTTAAACAATTATCATTTACACACTCATCATCAGACATTTTGACTTCTCTTAGTTTCAAACTATTTGAATTTTGACTCATCAGTGCAATACACTTTCCCCCATTGTTCCAATGGGAACAATATATGTATTTTTGTAAACTGAAGATGTTTATTTACACGCTACAGCAAACTTTTTTGGCAAGCTATGTGTCCATTTAAACCAACATTATGTACTTGCCTCTTGATAGTATTATCCCCAGAGCCATCACAACTCTCTTGATAGTATTAAATGATATTGGATTTGTTTTTATTTTATTCAACTTTTCTTCATGATGACTGAGGCATGATGATGCAGAGGATAGAGTGCTCGCTTCCCAATGAGGTGACCCGGGTTTAAATCCCAGCGATGGCTTGACTATACGAATTATGCACCTGGCCTGCACCGATCACAGTTGTAAAATATCCTCAGTGGTAGACAGATCATGGGTTATGAGTCCCCTTGCCATTAGGCTAACAGTGGTAGGTTTTCCTCTTCAAATGCGGGTTAGTTCTGTCAAAAAGTCCTACACGAAGGAAAATTTCTCCCAATATTTGAATCCAAAATTCACTTGTCTTCTGGATTGCGTTCAAAATTACAAGGCTACGAGTTGAACATTGGTAATTGTAAACTCAGAATTGGGCCAGCTGATCAACGACGATAATGAAATAAAAACTAGTAATAATATAAATTTACTCAAAAATAATTTAAATATAATTTAAATAAAATAAAATTTAAATAAAGTTGTGTGTTTACAGAGCAGCACTTCATCAGGGGACACACTGACTGTAAACACACAGGAGACTTTCTGTTGTTAGTGGCAAAGCCAAAACTGTTAGTTTTGTGTGTTTACAGACAGTTGTTACAGGCACTGTTAGTTTTGGCTTTGCCACTAACAACAGAAAGTCTCCTGTGTGTTTACAGACAGTGTGTCCCCTGATGAAGTGCTGCTCTGTAAACACACAACTTTATTTAAATTATATTTAAATTATTTTTGAGTAAATTTATATTATTACTAGTTTATATGATTTGAATTTGGTTTTAGCTGCCTTGTGAGCTGTTCCAATTTGAATTTGAATTAATGTAGTTATGGTTATTTTTATTTTTCTACCTCCTGTTTAATTAATTACACTTAAGGATTTGAATTTACGTTTGAATGAAATAAAAAATCATAATGGCTTGAAGATGTCTATTACATTTGCTTGAAATTATGATATGTTTATTTTCCTTGATAGTTGCGCATTTTGTTTCTCCTGTGTATTTTTTGTTTTTTGTAGAGTTTGTTCCCCTTTTTCTTAATGGTGTTGACATACATGTTACATTCGATTTTGTAATTTGCAATTTTCTGGCTATTTTATCATCAATACAACCTTCTACAGATAAAATCTCAGTTCTTGCATGCAGCTCAGTTAAATATTCTTTTCTTTTTTCCATATTTTGGGTAATGTAAGAATAAATTATACAAAAACAAATCTCAATATTAAATAATAAACAAATAAAATTATAAGGATTCAGTAGTTAAACATGCAATAACTATATTTTAATTGAACTTTATCATTATAAGCAAAGAAATTCATCCAATACTTACTTTGATGTATGAAAACTACTAAACATAAAAAACATTATTCATTTAATACCTGACCCATATGAATATTGTGTTTTATGTAAAGTAACTTTCAAAATGTTGACTATATTTTCTTGTTAATAAACATACTAAACAACTTTAAAAATAGAAGTATACATTATTTTACTGCATTTGGAATCAACAATCTGTAATATTGAGTTTTCCCAAGAACATTTGCTCATTAGTGTAATGGTATAATATTTATTCTGTACTCATAATGTCCCTTTGTCCTTTAGATTATTTCATATGATCGAGAAAAATTTAACAAAGTAAGAGATATTTAGGAAATTTGCACTCACATTGGTGATCAAATATTTAAGGCTAGCAAATAAATTTCAAAATTTTTTTTAAAAAAAGAAAAGAGTTTTGAACTAAATTGTGTCCGCTTCGCTGATTGTGCCTCATTGAATGCATTTTAATATCAAGTAACAACATTTCTCTTCAATTTGAACAGAAAATGCTTAGTTGTTCCCTTTTCACTTATAAAAACATTACTTTTTGAAACACTAAAACCTTAAGATACACTTTTTTTATTCAATATAATTATTATTGCAATAGGTATGTTTTCATTTTGAAGTTTCTATACATTTTTATGCTTTTTGTCGCCATAAAGTTTTTCTTACTTCATCTTTTAACATTTTCAAAAAATTTTCAAATTTATCATGAAAGCAAAATAGTGGTGAGCAAAAAAATTTACTCTCTTATATTTAGAACTGAAATTTCATGCCCTGATCTAAGGTATAGGAAAATTTTTCATCCATATTTTAAAAAATGGGGTATTTGTTAGATATTTATTGTATCCATTAAAAAAAATTAATACCTTCATAGATGTTATTCATTTAAAAAACAAATGAAATCTGAAAATTAGAAAAATCAATCTACAAGCACATCATTTACAGAATCAATTTGCATAAAACAAAATATTGCTTTTTAGACTCTATAAAAATTTAAGATATTATTGGATAAGATGATCTCGTTATGCATTTTTAAATCTTATCACATTGCATACGAATATTATCTTCTCCTGTTTTAACCTTTTAGGAATGATTTTTCAAAAAGATTTTAAAAAATTCAGGCCAATACATAGTTGTGTTCATACATACATTAAGAAATTGCACACTGCGTTAAAAAATTTTTTAATCAGCACTCATAAATTTATTTTGTGTATCTGAACTGATTTTGAATAGTTTATTGAAAGTTGAATTAATAAGCATTTTGGTAAATGTCTACTTTTTGTTTCATGTGTTATAGGTATTAACTGTAATGGTGTAAATACTAAAGATGCAAGTTCTGATGAAATGGAAACAGAAGGTAATAATTGATTCAATTATAATAACTTATGCAATGCTTAACTATTTTTCAATGAACGATGAATTTTCATTCTGTAAATTATTCAAAATGGCAAATATTATTGAGAAAAAAAGCATGCATCAAATGTTTTGCTATTAAATGTTTGTTACAAAAGCATATAAAATGTTGCAAAAAGCTTCTAAGATGACTGTTTGTGTAAAACATCAGTTTTCGATTGGTATAAAAAATTTAAGAATGGTAAATATCCCATCAAAGATGATTGCAATCTGATAGATCAGACTTTTCTTTTGGTGATCAACATATCGCTAAAGTCTAAGAACTAATGTTTGGTGATCAATGTTTGCGACATACTACACATAAATTAAGAACTTGCAAAAAAACAGATTTTTTTTTAGGTTTTAACCAAAACGTTTTAGTTGGTGTAGGACAAAAGACTAAGACATAACATAAAATCATAGTTGCACACTTTCTATTATTAACTCATACAGTAAAGCATTTCGCTGCAGAGAAAGCACAATAACTAAGTGTCGTTTTCTGCAGAGGAAGCACAACAACTACTATCAACAAGCACTAGAAAAATATTTTATCCTTGCAGAAGTACAATGTGCCAAAAAATAAATAAAAAACGGACCACCCAGAAGAACTTTTGATCTAATGATCTGAATTTGACATTTTAGAACTCAATCTTAATGGCTCGAGGGGTTGACCTCAAATATGCCAATTAATAAATGCAGACGTTATTTTAAATTACAAAATTTTGTGTTTGATTTCATTACATAATAAATCGTCTGCACTTATTAATTAGCATATTTGAGATCACACCTTAAAGCCATTAAGATTGAGTTCTACAAAGTGAAGATCCAATCATTAGATCGAAAGTTAGGGGGCATATTGTGGTTTGTTAAAAGGTGGCCTGTTTTGTTCTTTTTTTGTGCACTGTGCAGCTGTTCAACCTTGCAGTAATTCTCAAATTCCCAGTTTAACATCAGAACTCCATTCCCAGACACAATCCAGCATATTGTCTGGATTGCTAGGCATTAATCATTCAATGCTTTTGAATTCGCTGATCGGCGGAACATTATGTGTCCGGCAATAAGCCTAATTATAGAACAGTTTCCCATGTCATTTGGTTTCTGTCTAACAATTTAAAAATAATCTTTAAGGTTGCAAAGTGTCACATCTTTAGTTGTTCCAAGAACTTTGGCTTTGTTCCCATTAATACTGGTTCAAGTCGTTCGAAAAATGCTTTTAATTCTTATTGAAACACAATATTTTCCATGATGAAATTTGGATTTATCAGGGTCGCCATCATTTGATCCTGATTTAAATCACATGATTTTTTTATTTTAAAAATCATGCATTTTAATTATTTTTTTTCTATTGAAAATACTCTAAATCTGGATTTTATTGATATTGAAGGTTTTATCCTTAAAAATAATGAGATAGTAATTTATGTAAGTCATTAATGTTCAAAATTGAGGGAAAAATAAAAATACTTATTGTATTAAAAGTGATATAAAACTTTTAAATAATAACTTTCCGGTACTTTATGTAAACTAATTTGCTATTTAATATACATAATGTAGCTATACCAATTTAATTTTGACTATTTAAATAAAATACTTTAGGATGTTTTAAACACTTGGTTTGAATTTATAATTCTCGGTCTACCAAGAGTAATTTAGAATAAATGATTTTTTTTATGCATACTGATCTAAACTTATTTATTCTTCATTTGATATCTAATTGATAAATTTGATCTTAAATTTTGCAAATTCATGAAGGTATTGATCTTAAATTAAAAAAGAGGATTTATTTTTTTCAATGATCAGTTTGTAATAATTATGCATCTTTTTTATAAACCATTTAGTTTGATTTTACCAATTAGTAGTAATATTCTTTTTTAAAAGTATTATTCATTATTGTTTTAACAGAGCTTTGATTGGTATTCATAAAAGAATAAAAAAATCTTATCTAAATAAGAACAAATCCGGGTTTTTTTTCTTTTGTATCTTTTGAAAAAAATCCGGATTTTCACCAATCCTGGGATCTATGTTTTTGTTTTGTTTTGTTAGGTTTTTTTTTGTTTTTTTGTTTAGGCTGTTCTTGATTATTATGTGATTTTTTTTAAATTTGATTTTATGTGATTTTATTTCATTCATTCTGTGAAATATATGTCAATCTTTAAGTTTTTGTATGTTACAGGAGTAAATGGAATAGAACCATATCATGAAATATCTGACGAACATATTGATGGAAGAATTGCTACTCATATTTCTGAAAGTGGTGATCTTATTTTGATACATGAAGCTACTCATCATGCAAAGAAGAGCAAAATGACTGAACTGCTTTTAGAACCTTTGCCAAGTATGTAATTCAAATTGTCTCTTTAAATAATGCATAATTCTAATTGTTGCAATTGATGTTTCAATGAATTGTGTTTTGCTGTTAAGCAAAAATATTGTTTTAAGTATCACTCATACCAATTCTATCATGCTTCTTCTAATGTTGAAGTTTGAATATATTTTTCATTTTTAATATTTTCATTGAGAAATTAAAAAAAAAAAGATGTGACACATAAATTATTTCCAGCCTTTTATTTGTATAAATCTAATCGGAATTTAATGTTACAAATCTGATGCATAATATAACTTAAAACCTCATATAAATGTAAAAGAAATTATGAAAAATATGCATCGAAAAAAAAGTGTAAAAGACATGCAAAACTTGTAAGGAATTAAAAAATAATTTATGTTAAAGACTTAGAGTCCCGCAGTGGACTCATCGTTAAGACACGGTTCTCATCAGATCACCGAAGTCAAGCATCACTGGCTGCGGTCAGTGTGCGGGTGGGTGACCCACTTGGATCAGTCTGCGTAGGGACCGAGGGTGTGCGGTATTGGTCCTCGTTAAACTGTGCTACCGTAAAGTGCTCGACTTCGCGCGCAGGTCGTCGGGCTACCGAAGCGGGGGTGCCATCCCCTTCGCAGAGGATCAAAATTGTGATGGCATGTCTTCGGATCATCCTCCGGGATGTTTCCCAGACCGTCGCCAATAGCCCATTGTGCAGCTCTAGTGCGATGTAAATTAACAACAAACAAACAAACAAACAAAGACTTAGAGAATTTTTGCCCATAAAACTCTAAAAACTTCATTGTCTCATCTCTTATCACACTTTTGAAACAATAGCATTGCAACTAAATTTAGAAACTAAAAAGAAAACTATAAATTTTTATTGAAGCTTTGAAAACAACAGCCCCTAAAAAGTGTTCCATGAAACTTTAGGGTTTCATGTCAGGAGCGTAGGTGTTTTGAGAGTTACGACTCTTTTTAGCCATCAATAATTACCGTATATTTCTAAATATAAGCCGAGAATTTTTAGAAAGTTTTCAAAAGCTAAAGTTCGGGGGTCTGCTTATAATCGGATCCACTAACTATGAAAAATTCCTGGAGGACATTGCCAAACAAAATACTTTTCCTTTTGTCAAGTATTGACGATAATCAGTAAATATTGCAAAATGTATCTACTTACGAAACATTAAAATACGTAAAATAATAGTTAAAAACGGAATGCCTAAAATAAAAATTGAAAAAGAAACACATAAAACTACAATTTGAAAGGAATAATATTTTTTAATCTTCTAATTATGAATTCGAAAGGTCCATGCTTCTTTTACCCACTATGCAATTGTTACTACTATATTTTTCATTTCCAAGCATAGCATGCCTTATTTTTTTACGTAAGCTTATATATGAGTTTTAAGTTTTTGATGAATTTCCAAGGTTGACGGCTTACTCTTCAGCTTTAAACGGATAAGCTTATATTCAGAAATAGATGTTTTATTAATATCCTATCCATAATTTATTTAATGGACTGGTTATTTAAATGATATTATTTAAGTAAAATGCTAATGAAAAAGAGAAATAGCTAATTACGAAGAAAAGTTATTTTTTGATAGTATTACATTGTTATAAAATTATAAAATTACATTAGTTTCCATTTAACCTTTTAGTTCAAGATAAAAAAAAATAACAAATTCAATATACCTGATCTTTCATTACCCTTTAAGAAATTTGCAAAAAAAAAAAAAAAAAAAAAAAATCCAGTTTAAAAAAAAATTCACAAATGCAGTTAATATTGCAGCATTTTCAAATTTTTTGTGGGCATGAGTGATCTTATTTTCTATACATGATTTTAAATTATGCAATTTGGTATCACAGGGTGCGTAGTATTTTTAAAAAGTGCTTAAAGGTGCTTTTTTTTCGTTTTTTAAAATCCCTTAAAGGTGCTTTTTTCATTGGGTGTTTTTAAAAAGTGCTTACTTTTCCCATTTTGAAAATGAGATTTTTCCTTTACTATGTTGTTTTTCGCTTCGAATTATGCAAAAAAGACACAGTACACATTGTTCTATTCAACATTTTCATAATTAATTCAACCCCAACCTATTTCGACTTATTGTCAGTCCGAAGGGTATGAAAACGCCATTCGTTTTACATGATTCAAAATATCATGATTTTTGACAACTGTAAAAAACAATGCCAAATTTTTTTTTTGAAATGACGATTAAAACAAGATAAAACCATCAATTGTCAAAAACTTTCCAACCCTGCCTAGTTAAATTTTTTTTAAATGCTTAAAAATATTTTTGAGTGCTTGAAAAGTCCTTAAAAGGTGCTTATTTTTTGTTGAATAATTTGGCTACACACCCTGTATCATAAATTACAATGCTTTTATTTATTTCCATAGTTTCTTTCAAGTCCGCTGATCGTTTGAAGAGAAAAAGGAAATTAATTATTGATGAGGTAAAAATGTTAGATGAAGAAAAACTCCAGAATCAGTTAAGGGATACTGAGGATATCACTGTTCCTTTGGACCTTGCCCCTCCTTCAAAACGATTAATGACCTTGAAAAGAATTGGTGGCACTCGCAGCTTGCTGCACTTGCCTGGGCTAAATTTAAATTCAACACAACTTCTAAGGGTAAGTCTAAGTTGGGTTGGTATAAAAATTTTTTTTAAAAACTCAATCTTTTCTGTAAAGAAGGTAAAGAAAAAGAAAACCAAGGGCCAATCCAGCATGTTGAAGACTCTGCACTTATAAATCACTTAAAAAAAATTATTATTAAATTTTGCTTGATTTGTTTAAAAGTTATTAATTCCAAACAATTAATTGATATGTTATGGATGTTCTTAATAAAAAAAAATACTGGCATTTTAAAATAAAAATCTTAAAAAATAATATACTTAAAATTTGTAGTCTCTACAGCCTTAGATCCATTAGGTTTTAAACTAAAATTTTTAGAATCATTAAATTATTGCTTTCTACTGTTACTCCATCTCTGAATGAATGTGTTTAATTTTTTGGGAACCTTTAAACTGATTTTGTTCAGATTTCGGATGGTGACATTTATAATAAATAGTTTAAAATTTCATAATTATTCGTACATGTTCCTTACAATTTAAAAAGAAAGTTTTAATCGTTGTAAATGACTATAATTTTTTGTTTATGTAGAAATTTCTTTAGGTAAACTTTTCTTACTCTGTGCAAAAATGATTGTATTCACTTAAATGATTTAAAAGGTATAGCAAAATAGACAGAAAGAAAAATTAACACTTAAGAAATTAAACTTTTGACCATTCATTTCATTAAATAACTATCAAGACCATGCTTTCCTGATTTTGTCTCCCCTTCTTCATTTGATAGTGAAAAATCTTGATTTATGAACAAAAAAAAACTTCCTTAATTATTGTCTGTCCTAATTAAGTTTACATTCTAGTATGAGAAAATCCAATTATTAGATCAAAAATTATTCAGGCTTATTTAATTTTTGAGACCTAATAAACCTTCCTTGGTCAAAAGTTGAAATCAAAAGTTGTTTTAAAAGAGTTATTAATTGTTAGAACAAAAGACATAATGTGTGTGATTTATTAAAGTCAAAAGTTTCCATGGTTTCCCATGGTCAAAAGGGAAAATTTCTTTTTAATGTAATGTAAGGAAAAAAAAGCATATTATCTTTAGATAATATATTTCTGGAAAAAATTGATGAAGGTAGAAAAACTAAAGAATACCCAAAATGATACCCACTTGTTTCTAATCTATGGTGTATTATAATTTTAAGAATATAAATATTTTAAATGTAACTGAGTTAAAAATTTTAATTCTTAATTTTAAATACGAAATTTTATCCCAAAATATCTTTTTCATTTAAACAAATTTTTTTAATATTAAGACTTCTTTTTTTTTTTTTAAAGTTTTGAGACTTTGCTTATAATTATATTTTTGATCCCTATTTTCAAATGGAAAAGTAATATATTGGTAACATTTTCTGTTTTATTTTAGCTGAGCTATTTTTCAAATTGAAATCAAAGCGTTATACTTTCAATATAAGTGAAACATGTAAACATTTATTATTACCAAACGAAGGCTATCTTATTTACTTTTTTGAACATTTATTTTTGCACAACTGTATTTTGGCAAGTTTTATATGCTATTGCTTCTATCTCTGCTTCACTCTGATTCTTGTTTTTTAAACTTTCTTATTGCCAAGGAAGCGTTCTCATTTTCATTGTGCAGTTTATACAGAAATTTATAGAGTGGTAGTACAGCAAATAGTAATTTGTTTGAAGTAGTTGAATACCTTTGTGAACATGGAAATCAACCTGCTCCTTACCATATTTATGCCATAATGGCTAGGTATCCACCGGGTGATTACACTTTTGTTCTGGCACTGGAGCATTTCATGTGAAAAAGGGTTTCGTATTGAGCTCATTGCTTGGATTACAGCCCGAGGATCTGAGGAAAAAAACTTTTTCAAACTCATAGTGAATCGACAACAGTTGTTTCAATATATCATGTAAGGCATGAACCTTTCCAACAAAGGTGTCCCCCATCATAAAACGAAAGCAAATCTAAAGCTACTCGAGAACCTGCTGTTATATGTAATTCAGAATAGGAGTGACCTGTATAAACATATAGCCAATAGTCCTCTGAATATCCTGTATGGATGGTTTCTAATATAAGGGATTTCAAAATTTCTGGAAATGTTTGACTCTTCATATGCCATTTTTTAAAATTTAATTTTGTTTCAATCCAACCTTTCTTGATAGGGATTTGTGTTTTTAAATCTTTCTGTTCTACATCTCAAAATTCACCATTTTTTTCTCAAATATTTTGAACAAATTCAAGTTGTGTTATATAAATAAAACTAATAGCGTACATTAAAATTGTCAATAAAGTAAAAAAATATTAAATTTATTGTTTGAAACTAATCTATAGAAGTGGTAAGTCACATCTATGAACAGTCACTTGTACTGTTTTCCAGCTTCATATCTAATAAAAAAACATTACATAAATAAATAAATGGCCTCAATAAATGACATTTTTTTATTGAAAATTAGAATAATAATTGTATAGTAATTTTAAGTATAGTAATTCTATCTCTTTACTAATCCCATTTTTGTTCTGAAAAATAAAATAATGAGTGAAATTTTAAATAAATGATAGTTTTGTCTGTAGAATTATTAGTTAAATAGTTTTTTCACTATTACAACTTTGTTTGAACAACTCTTTATATTAATTTTTTTACCATGCTCAAAAATGTTTATTTTGTGTTAGGTGTACCAAAGACACTTAAGACCTCCCAAAAAGGAGGAAAATGAGCATGAATCTAGTGGAGAAGAAAGTGCTTATGGGTGTAAGTAATTTCCTTTTTTTGCATTCGTACTCCAAATGGTTGAAGTAAATGTGAATAAATTTAATGATGATTAAATTTACATGCCCTTTTGAGGCAAGAATCGATGGGTGTTTGTAAAGTTCATATATTTTATAAAATGAAAATCAGTCTTTAATTGTTCAAAAAACTGAAAAGATTTGAGCAAGTTAGATTTCTAGCATTTATCGAACAAAATGTGAAATAAATAATGAAATACTCGAGTGAATGGATCTTTAAGTATAATTTTTGTCTTTGGAGTTAAAAAATTAAACTTTTATTTATATTTTTTTTAAATAAGAATTTATTGAAAGTAAATGAAAAAGAGTTTTCGCCCCATTTATTTCAACATTAAATAATATTCCATTATTATGGTGGAGGTGACAGCCTGTTTACTTTACTAATGCATACAAATTGTATATCATTTTTTTCAAGGTAAAAAATTTGCCTTGAATATAAAATTGGATATATAATTGCATTGCATCATAATGATTAGAGACAAAAGAATCTAAGTGCTACAATTCTATAAATACACTAAAGGGCTAATCAACCGGTTCGCAGCCTCTCACCTATCTAAGTGATTACTTTGCAATAATTGTTTTCTTTTGTTGGCATGAAACAGTTTTTTCTATAAAAGTTGAAATTATTCACTTAAAATATAAGTACTAAAAAAATTCTATTTGCTTATGCTTGTACCCTCACTTCGCACGTTTAAACATTTCCTTTATGATTTGATTAAAATCTATAAGTGAATATAAATTATTTTTTGTAATCATTTTTTGAATAGTTAAAATTAAAGACAAATTTGGTGAAACCATAATTTATTATTTTCACTTACCAAACTAGCTGATAAATCAAACACAATTAGTGCATGCATCACATTGGGGATGAATCTGGTCTTTAAAACTACTTTATAACTTCTATATAGACTACTTTAGTAACATTCATAATGTCAAATTTTTAAATTAAATACCGGCAAGTTACCTGATATCTTCAGAGAAGAGTCTTTAATCATCTTTGCATCTATTTTCTTTTAATTTAGAACTATTCAAACTGTTTCATTTATACATCAAAACATGCTGTACAAATACATTTATATTTATTTACAATGAAATCTAAGAACTTTGAAAAAGAACAACTGGTTTTTAGACAGTAATGTTTTCCTTTAATGCATGTATGAAATATAACTATAGAAAGAAACTGAAAATGAATGGGGCTTAGATAGACATGAAATAACTTATGCGATTTCACACTGCATGTTTTCGTTTGCATAATTATAATTATTAGTAACAAAATAAATAAGAATAATGTTTGAAAATGTAGGTATTAATAATGCTCATTTAAAATATATCAAATCTATATTTTCCACCAATGTTGCTCAATTAGTGATTCTCGTTAAGTTATTTTTGTGTGTTAACAAAGAGTAGTCTTCCAGTCGCAGCTGCAAACTATGATGAAAATGTTAAAAACTTATTTTTATCAAAGCATGCAATCTAATTGTTATTCTGTCAGTTCGATCTATATACTAAAAGCTTAAATGTGTAATAATAATTATGAATGCAGAATACCTTGATTAAAGGACTTCAATACGAAACATAACTTAAAAAGTTAAGTAAAATATGAAAGCAATATAAAAAAATAAAAAAACGTTATTAATTATGAGTAAGATTAATTTTTTTAAATCAGAATCTAAAACAATGCCAAATATTTGACTTATATTTCTAAAAAAAGAATTTTTAAGAATCATATATTATATTACTGTTAACCAAAACAAGATTTTTGCGAAAAATGAATTTACAATTCTCTCTTTGCAAAACAATAGAAATAAATTAACTGAGAAATTAAAAATATTTTGTGTTTGTTTTAGAAGATTTTGGGTTTAAATAATTCATGGATTAAAATTAAATTTGATGTTTTGTAGATTCTTAATAGTGAAAAAAACAATTTATGAAACTTTGAAAAATCTTTAGTTTTGCCAGTGTAATAGCTTTCCTTAAATGATGCATATATATTTTCTTTAAATTAGAAAATTTTTGATTAATAATGAATTATTTGAGTAATTTTGTCTTACAAAGTGTTATTAATTTCTTTTCTGGCATAAAAAAAGATAGAAAAAGGAAGTTTACTCTTTTGCAGTTTATTTTGTTATGAATAAATTAGTTTTAATAGGGGAGAGTCGGGTAGCCCCGCTCACTTAAGGAGTATTGCTTATATTTCTGTGTAATATTGAGTAATAATTAATATTTTTGTATGTTTCTATTGTTTTATCATCTAATTAAATAATGCAAAGAGAATAAACCAAAAAAGAATAGTTTAACTTAAAAAAATAGAAATTTAAAAAAACATGTTTTTCAGCTCTTTTTAAAATGTGTCGGGTAGCCCCGCCCAGTTACAAAAATTATGTTTTTTGACTGTTTTTCCACGTGTAAATGAAAATGACCAATGTATTGACAATAGTTAAACCTCTTTTATCATTTTTATCACAAAATTATTTTATTTATTACATATTTATATACTTTTAGTGAATTCTATCATTTGATAACAATCATTTAATAACAACAATATTTGTTGTTAAAAATGCATATAACATTCAAATTTGAAGCAATAAAATAATAATTTTTGCAACCGTACATTTATCGACGATATAAAATTGGTCGTTGATACCTGACATTCATGTGAGCGGGGCTACCCGAAATCCAATTGTTTTGTAAATTTGTAATTACTCGAACAATTTTTCACATATAGACTTCTTTCTTTGTGCAAATCAAACTTAAGACTACATACTTTAATGCTGTATGTATAGAAAAAATTATTTTTTTAGTATTAAAATGAAGTTTAATCGAAACATTCAACCAATTTTTCTTAATTTCATGACTACTGTACTCAACATATTTTCAAAACTATTGTTTACCATGTTAACAGCTTCATAAATACTTGAAACTTTTAAAATAATCTTTTTTTAATATAACAATTAATGTCCGATGGCCAATTGTCTTGAAAATTTTTTCTATACATATGAAATTGACAGTGGGTGGGGTACCCAACTTTCCTCTAAGTTTTGTTTTCTTTCATTCTGCTATCAAATGACACCACCTTAGACTGCTTTACAGTATTTTTACATCAAACATAAAATAAATTTATAATTATGTTATTGACATTCATAGCGATTGGAAAACATCCACATAACTCTGATGATTTGTTCCCCGAAGAGTCGATAGAAAATGAAAGAAGCAATAATTTAGTAAGTTAAAAAGTAACAACAAAAAAATTCTTGCTATTTTATTAAAAAGTTTAAAATGTTTAATATTTTGTTTATTGACGCAAAAAAAAGAAACAATATAATTTTCTTTTCGAAAATTTTCCTTAAAGAAAGTTCCATATGGTCAATTTAATTTAAATTAGAACAATAATAAGAGCTAAAACATTAAGTGCTTTAGCGTTTATTATTTAAGTTTATTAAATAAATTAAAACTAAGGAGTGCTTTTGTTTCTATCTGAATTTGATTAAACAATAGAAAGATTTGGAAAGCCTGATCATAATCATTTAATAGATATTTCCTTCAATTGAATTTATATTAAATGCCAATTTTTTATCATGCACAAGTAAAACATTTAATTATTTTCTAATATTCCTTCTTTTTTATCATTTCTTTTACTTTTTCTTAATGCAAATAAAGCTTTGTTTAATAAATGTTTTTAGTGATATTCTATTATTCTCTCTCATTTCTACTTCTCCAATAATCTTTGGAAAGTTTTAATTTTTAAACACTTCTCGAATAGACTAGGGCTTTGTTCTGGTACTGTATAACCAAATTTTATTCTTAAGGGGGGAAAATAAGAACTTTTAAAACTTTGTGGTTGAGGACAGTGCCTTGGGTGTGTTGCAAATCAGATCATTGATATCTTTTTGCAGTGGCAAGTTTGAAGCTTATTTAGAAGATGAAAAATCAGTGAGTTGTAATCAAAGTTATGTTTAGAATATCAGGAGGATGTCTACCTATATGCAATGAGTGGTAAAGTTTTTTTAAACGCAAAATTTTAAAGCTACATTTTTCATTTTCATTGGCAAATCAGAAAATTTTATTCTAATGCAAACCTCATTTAAAAGCTTTTTATATTACGTTCCCAGTATAAAAATGGTTAAATTTTTAAAACAGAATGTAATATTGTGATTTAATCGTATTTTGTTAAGAATAAAAAAATTTGATCACTTACATTTTTTTCTTCTTTTTTGCATCTTTCTTCATGTTTAAAATATCAGGTTTAACAATATTACATTGAAATAAGTAAAAACATTAAAAAATTCTTGTGAGTTGTAAAAATATACTTGTAAAATATATTTTTTACTATCGTTCTTACTTTCCATGGTTGATTCATGAAATGTTAAGATTGTAATGATGAATCTTCATTATCTGAAAGTTTAAACTATCTCAGTTAATTTGAATAAACAATATTCTATTATTTGTGTAAAACTTTAAGGTGAATTTTAACTTGTTTTTTACGAAAAAAGGATACTTAGTTTCCTTTTTTTTAGCAATTTAAGGTAACAGAGAAGCCTTAAGATTTCAACATTTTCAAAAATAGACAAGTTTGTTTCCTCAGTACATGCACAACGTGAATAATGTACTTTATGATAAAAAAAAAATCTAGGTTAAAATACCTTTTTCTAAGTGCAGATTAGCTATAAGAAAAAGAAAATATTTTAAGAGTTCAACTGTGCAAATTAGTTCAAATATTCAGCAAACATACAATACTGAATATTCGTACTTATTTGTGAGGTCGAAAAATAAAGGTAAGTGCTTGAATGGTGAAGTCTGTCAAGGCATTGCTCGTAACTCTGGTGGAGAGGCTATGAGTTCGATCCTGGCAGCCAACTAAACAACCAGCTTAGTGCATGTTAAATCTGTCATGGCTGAAAGTCCTCTCATAAGTTGCTGTGTGGGAATTTATAAAGAGGGATATTAGTGAAAGTGCTGTCTAGTCTTACAGACCAGGGTCAAAATTACTATTGTGTGTCTTAAAGGGTAGAGTCCTTAAAAAAAGGGATTTGTTTGAGTGATGTGTGTGAATAAATATCTTGCTTAGTAGAGTTAAATTAAAATATCGATATTTTGCAAAAAGTGATACACTTTTTGTATAATGATAAACTAATACTATACTAAACTTTTATTGTAGGGTATTCATGAGTTTTCTTTGAATGAAGGTGAAGCAAACATGAACAGTGACCCTGAATCATCTGTTGATGCAGGTGTTGACTGTGATTTTCACGAACCATTGTCTCAGCCAATAAATTTTTCTGATGAAATCCAGGTTAATATTTTTAGTAAATTTTTATTGTGATATTAATTACATTCTTATTATAATTTAAGAGATACCTATTTCAAATATTTTAATTAAAATTATTTTAAATAACCAGAGTAATAAGTTTAAATTACCAGAGTTCATAGTCAGAAATCAAAACATATACTGTCTTTTCAAAGAGAAAACCAATTTTATTATATGTTCATTTTGTAAGGATTTATAATGATTGATCATTATATATCATTAATAATATTTGTAAATTTTAATAAAATGTTTAAAAAAAGTGCTAAAAATACCAATATTTAATTTTTAGTTTTGAGTACTTAACTCAAAACTGAAAAAATATTCAACTATTGTAAAAAAAATATTTTAAATATATTTTTCTGTTTCAAATCAATATAAATTATAGTATTCTGACACAATTTAGGCAAACAGTAAGCATGAGTTTGTAAAGAATTAAAATTTTAATGTATCACCAGAATTTTAAAAATCTCTAATTTTAATTTTTTATCTAATTTATGATAATACTCTACTATTACTTACTGTATTATGAATTGCCATAATAGAGTAAGTATGCAGTAAGTGGTCATTTTTCTTTTTAAACAAGGTTTGAGCTTGTCTTATTTGTTTGAATTAAAAAAATACATTTAAATATAACTCAACCTAAATATTGCAGTGCCTTTCATTATTAAAATCAGCATTAAAATTCATCGTTACTACTGTTTTTCTGAAATACAAATGAAGAGATATGTTTTTGTTTTCTTGTCTAATGAGGAGAGTAAACATCGGTGAAATCTATATTGAAAGAAAATTAAGCTTAATGGTTGAAAACCTTGGATAGGCTTAAAATTTGCTGTTGCTACTGTGACTTAAAAATGTCTCCTTAAAGTTTTAATTCACTTACTTATAATAAAATCTTTTAGCTCCTGTGAATTTGTGGCATGCAATCCGCCTTCTAACTGAGGGGGTTCAAATCCCAGCTGAAATATTTTATGTATGTTTCTAGATTATTGATCTAAAAATATTGAAAACTATTTAGTATGTTTTATTGAATATACAAATTATTTTAGTTGGACATTTTAAGTTGATTAAAAACAAAAAAAAATTTATTATTTTGAATTAAAATATATGAATCATTTTAAATATTTCAGTAATTTATTTTCATTCCTTCGTAATTTAGTAATTTAATTTTTTTAAGTGTCTTTAACTGAATTTATTTTATAATGATTACTTTACGTTATAATTAAATTTGATAATAAAAATAAAAATGCATTATAATTTTTGTTAAAAGAAGAGAAAAAAAAGGGATAACTTCAAAGGAACTATTTATTACTGAAACATTAGACTTTTAATACTTCAGTAATTGATTTTCTTTAGTTCCTTTGGTTCATTAGTGTCTTTAACTATTGTTGTTGTTTTCATGTCCATGGATCTTCAGATCACATCAAAGGTCTGGACTATTGGTGCCGCCAGCTTCGGCATCTCTAGTGTCTTTAACTGAATTTTTATCATAAAAAATATTTTAGGTTTTAATTAAATTTGATTATGAAAATATAAATACAAAATATTTTTACTTAAAAATGATAGAAAAGGGAATAACTTAAAAAGAACTATTTATTACCGAAAAAGGTTGTCATTTAAAATACAAATACATAATACATAATTTTTTCGCAGTAATTATATTGTAAGTCTGTTTACATTTTCATAATTAAATTTAATATAAAATAAAATTTATTACATTACAAAATGAAAAAATTAATTAAAGTAAAAAATTTTAAAATATAGTATTTTGAATTAGTTTGTGTATCTAAATTCAGAAATAAAAATAATTAAACATTGATCAATTTGTTTTTGCTTTCTAAAGTTTAAATAAATTTTGTAAAAATACCAAATTAGAATAGAAAATAATAATTTATATATTGAATAAAATATACTAAATAGTATTAGAATACTAATACTAATAGTAACAGAAGTCTAGAAATCTAAATACAAAATTGTCTCACCTGGGATTTGAACCCAATATCTCTGAGTTAGAAGGCAGATAGATTAACCATTGTGCCAAAATGTTTTTTTTTTTTTTTTTTTTTTTAAATAAATTAACAAAACTTTTATGCAGAAGCAGCAGTTACCCTATCCTGGGTTTTTAACCAAAATCTTAAATTTCTGATAGGAAGTTAAAACAATAGGAGATGTATCATAGTAGGCTATCTATTTAATTCTCACTACATAAAAGTTGAAGTTAAGAGGGTGATAAATCATATGATAGAAATATTTCTATTCAGTTAGTTATTTTTTTTACACGTAGCATCAGATTTTGCAATTACTTATCTAGAAGCAGAATTGAGTTTTACTCCTCAAAAATTTTACCCTGCAAAAAATTTTATTTTCTAGGGAGAAATAAATCTGCATAAATCTTTTTAAAATTATAAAAACTTTTTATGCAGTTGAAGAATCTGTAGAATTTGTTATTCATCATGAATGAAGATGTGTAAATATATCAGTGAAAGAACACCCTTTTTGTGTATCCTGAATTTAGGAAACACTACCAATAACTACAACTGATTGTTAAAGGGGCTCAAAATGGAATAAAATCTAACTTTACTTGGCGTCAGGGCATAAAATTTCAGTTTTTTACTAGCCAAACTAAATCGTTCCTCCTTATTATTATTTAAGTGCTGTTCAAAAGGAAAATTACTTTTTCAATTTGCCGACTTTTGTTGTTTCTAAATTTAGGTTTTTAATACATATGGTTGATAAATTATGTTTTCAGCTTGAAATGTCTCTCTCTCACAATAAAGATGGTGAAATATATAATTTACATAACAAAATTGTCATATTTCTAAAATATATTGGAGGGATACTGAAAAGTGATGATTCTTCGATAAAGTTTTCTCTATTAGTACAGAGTGATAAGAAAATAAAGGTAAACATTTTTATTTCTTCATATCAGAGTATACTCATTAGCTTAAATCATTTATTCAAAATTCTTATTTTATAATAGTTATTTTTTATATATTATTATAGTATGAAATACAACAATAGATTTTTATTCATTTCTGATTTTTTAAAAAAAATAGTAATGTATATATTTCTATTCAAACTCAATTGTATTTTTCAGTATATTTATAATCTTGTCTTACATGAATTAATAACAAAATATTTATTTATTTTTTCATTTTGTTTAATTAAAGCAAACAAGTTCTTAAGTTAACTAAATGTAGAAAGACCCAGTGAATTTGGTTTATATATTGTGTGATCTTTAATATCTGTTATTGTACCTGGTTTGAGAAAACACATTTTTTTCCTATAGCAATTATAAAGTAATGCAGTTGAGATAAATAACTTTCTAAAAATGTAGAAAATATCTTTAATGACAACTTAAATTTTTTATTATTATTCTGAAATGTTAAAAAAAAAGGTTCTATTACATGGAAATACTTGTTAGCTTATTCTATACTTATTATTACAAAATTCTTTTTTTCCTCTTTTATATTACTAAAATAAAGTTATTGCAATTTTTTAAGCATTTTCTAGTAAAATTTACTTTTGTTTTGCTCAATTTCTGGAATAATTGTTCAAATCAAAATATCTTAAGGACTTTTAAGTGACCCATTTATCCAAGGAAAATTTTTTTGTGAAAAATTATTTATTATTAATTTATTTATTAATTTTTTATTTAATATTTTAATTTAGAAACTGTTTTATTGATTTTGTTTGTAAAAAATAAAACACAATGGCCCATTTATTAATTACTATAAATGTCATTCTTGACCTTACAATTTCTCAAAAAAATTGGGGGGAAAAATTAGAATGGCCCATAATAAAATTCAGTAATACGAAATAATACATTATTAAAAAGCATCTGTTTTGTCATTAAATTATCTTTCTAAAAGTGAGTTTCATAACTGGTGTTAAAATGCTTTTATTCAAACTATTAGTTAAGTAGATATTGAGAAATAAAAACAATGGTAGAATTTGGGGTCTCAAAGCTTTGCTCATGCTTCAGGATCTTGGGGAAACTCTTTGAGAAAGAAGATAAATATTAGAATCCTTAGAAGAACTCAAAGAAGAATTCTTCTACGTATTATTCAGGGATATAGAACTGTTAGTTATGATGCGGTCTTTGTTATCGCTGGTCTTCCGCCTATTGATTTAATTATCTTAAATAATCTTGAATTAAAGGAGAAGATAAAAGACAACGATTGTCTAACCCTGGACGGGAAGCTTCCTATTTCATGTTTGCCCCACCCAGCATGCAGGAAACCTGTTATAATTATTCCTTATGTAAATAATGTTTTTCAGGAATATAAAACTATCTGCTTTACGGATGGTAGTAAGCTTGATGGAAGGGTTGGTCTTGCTTTTGTAATTTATGAAACTGGAACAGAGAAGGTTACTGCCAAGCACCGACTGCATAATGAATGTACTGTTTTCCAGGCTGAACTTTTGTGTATAAACCTGGTTGTTAAGTGGATACAAAATTCTTTTAGTGAAAACCAAATTTTCAAATATCTCATTTGTACAGATTCTTTTTCTTCACTTTTTCTTTTGAGTGACGCGACTTCTACTGAGAAGCTTGTGGTGGAAATTCACTCGATTTTGAACGCTCTTGAAAACGTAACTATTCATTTTTCTTACGTTCGTGGCCATAGCGGTATTTTGGGCAATGAAAGAGCAGACCAATTGGCTAGGGAAGCTACGTGTGGTGAAATAGACTTAAGGGTGTCTGTTCCAGCTTCTCACTGGAAGCGCATCGCTAGAGATAAAATCATTGCGGACTGGAATGCTGAATTTCTTGCTTCGCCTCGGTCGCTTTGGACGAAAAGGTTCTTTCCATCCATTTTTCACCGTTTGCAATGTAAATTCTTTGCAACTGATTTTAAATTGACCCAAATTTTAACAAACCATGGAAATTTTAAGAGATATTTATTTCGTTTCCATCTGCAGACCAGTGGAATTTGTGCTTGCGGTGATGCTGATGAAGATGCTGAACATATTCTTCTTCACTGTAGTCTCTATGCGAGTGCCCGAATGAATTTAAAGACTGATTTGAGACGTCTTTCAATTTGTTGGCCACCTGTCTTATCAGAACTGGTCAAAAGTATTGAAAGTCTTGCGGCCTTGCGGAATTTTGTTTTTAATGTAAATTTGTAAATTTTTCTCCTTTTGTTTTTTACTTACAACTGTAAGCCTCATGCTATACTTTGTGGTGCATGAGGAGTTTTAAGTCGTTTAAATTGAAAAAAAAAAAAAAAAAAAAAAAAAAAAAAAAAAAAAAAAAAAAAAAAAAAGCTTTGCTCGCCGGATAAAACTGCTGAGTTTGATTCAGATCCCCTCATGCAATATTGGTGCTTTTCCATTTATAAAATGGAATTTGGGGCCGTTTTTAACAGAATTTTGAATACTGAAAGAAAATACTAACTATGTGAATGTACCCAGGAGTAGAATTTTCTGAGCCAGCCTGCAGTACCATCTCTGTAGTTCAAAATTTGTCTGCAACAGGTGCCAAAATCAATCAAACGGAGACTAATACAGTGAAACCTCCATTTAGGACAACCTCTATTTATGACCATTTTTGGGAGAAACAGAATTTTTCCATAGACCTTGTATTGAAGAAAATCTTAAGGAAAGACCATTAAAACCTCTCCCAGCGACCGGTTAAACATCTGCACCAAATACGGAAAAATATCAAAAAGGAAAATTTACCAAAACAAATAAGTAGATTAAGCATTCGAAGTATTTGTATGAGGATCTAATTTAGAGAGCTCTTTTTAAAGATACAACCTCAAGTTGCAGCCAGAATGCACTAAAGACGATGCTATCAACGATTTACTTTTGGAGTTTAAATTTAAATTAGAAAGAAAAAAAACAAAGCTCTTCTCATCTTTAAGAGCTAACAAATTTTTATGATACGAAACTAAATGCAAATTTAAGCAAAAAACGTTATAGTTTATTTATTCAAAATAGCTTTATCATTTATAATTAGTAAATTTGTTTTTACTCATAATTATATCATTTGGGATTTTTTTATAGACGCCAAATTTTGTTCATAGCTCCGTCTTTTCACAATACCAACAGAAATTTCATTTTGCACCCAAAAAAGACACTGATTAAAATTAAAATCGTTTGCAAAAAATCATGTACCTCTGATGAAAATTTTGAAGTCAATGGAGGTAACCTCTAAGAACCACCAACCTCCATGAGCCACCATTTTAGTGTGCAACAGAGAGTGGGTCGCTCACGAGAGGTTTCAGTGTATAGTAAAAATTAGTCTTACCAATCTTAAAACAAAATTTCATTCTACTCACTGTGTATAAAAAGTAAGTACAAGAAATGTATTTAAATTTAGTTTAGACTCATACAATAATGATTAAAGGAAAGATTATTACTTAGATGATTTAACTGTGATTTATTCCAACAAGAAAAAATTGATATTAAATTAGAGACTTATACAATAAATGTCTTAAGATTTATCACACCATTTAAACCTTTTTCAGTTTATTATTGTAAAAATTTGGCTTTTCTAAGCATATACAGAGAGTAGAATCAGCATTTGCAAACATCGAATAAATGAAAAAAAAACTACACAAATGTTTATAATTTTTTAAATTTAGTTTGAAATTTACGCAAATTCTCTAAGAAATATGAAACTAGCATTTAGGAGGGGTGTTTATGAAATGCTCTGTGTAACATTCATTTTTTATAGCTTTGTTTTGAATGCTGCAGTACCAGAAAAAAAAATTAAATCGGAAAGTTAAATAAATAAATAGTGTAAAATAAATTTTTACATATGATTCCTTAATCATAATTTTTTTTTACATATACATTTTTGCTTATTTAGGTTTCTCGAAAATTTTTGTTCTTGTTGATGTTGAAGAAATTTCAGATTGTTGAGTTGCAACAAGAAAAGCCATATGACGAAATCATTATTTCCAGAGGAGTCAATTTTGTCTCAGCTTTTACAGAACTCTGCCTGAATTAAGCTTTCTAGTCTGTCTTTCACACAAAAGTTTCTTTGAATGTATTCTGCTTTGTGATCAAAATGGTTAATTTCAGTTTGCTTCTGAACATATTTTAGAAAAGACCCTTTATCCATATAGATATTTAAATTAGAAGGATGCTACATTTCATTACCAACTATCTCGTATAAAAATTATTAATCATGGATCATATTTTATTCATTTAGCATATTTCATTATTTATGCACTAATAAGTTTATTTGTCTTTGTAAAACTCTGAACTCTTATTTGCTGATAATTTTCTGAACCATTACAACCTGCACTTAAAGTTTAATTTTTTCTCAAGGGTTATAGAAGAAATGTTTTGACTAAATTTTCACTAGTACAATACCTTTATTCAAAATTTACATCATTGCAGTACATTTTAAATTATTGAAGTGAGTAAAATAAATTAAGAAAATAAACTGGGGTCTTAGATCTTTTTTTTTTTTTTTTAAATTTAAGGTATTGGTGTGCACTTAACATTATCTAATAAAAATTGGTGCATTTGAAGAAGAAATCCACTTTTTAATAAGTATTTTAAAAGCATATGGATTTTCAGAAATTATTATACCTTAGAAAATTATCAATGTTCTTCTTGAAGATGGTATGTTTAAGGCACTTGCCTAGATTACTTTTCTAAACTGCTGCTTCGAAGAAAAAAGAAGAAGAAAACGTCGATACATATACTATACTATTCTAAAAACGTATGTAAATTTTTAAATTTGCTGAGATTGATATGTTTCATATGCGATATAGAAAGTAAAATATGAAGCGAGTGGAATTAATTTGTGGCTTCCACTCTATTTATTCATAACTGTTTATCTTATGTGTTTATATTCTATTTGAAATAGTTATGTTTATTTGTAGCAATGTGCAGTCAGCTTTTACTCTTTTTATTGTCAGTTTTTTTTAATGTGTTCGGTTTTTATTTAATTGTGATTTTTTCTATGTTTTAAATTGTAATAAATTTCTCTTTTAAATAAATTTTTAAGTTTGAATTCAATTGTACTGAACTTAAAGAAAAATTACTTATTACATAAATTTTTTATTGTGAGATGTGTTATCATGATAAATTCCGCACTGCTTAAGATTGTGATACTTTATACAAACTACACAATTTGCTGAAGAAGTTTTTTAAATTATCTACAGTGAAACCTCCAGGAAAGACCTCTATTTCTGACCACTTTGGGGAGGCACAGAATTTTTTCCATAGACTTTGTGTTAAAAAAAATCTTTAGAAGAGACCATTTAAACCACCTCCCAATGACCGGGAGAACATCTGCACCAAATACAAGAAAGGTCAAATAAGGAAACACAAAAAAATTATCAAAACAAATAATTAAGAAAACAAATAAGTAGATTACAATGTATTTGAAATATTTGTGTAAGACTCATATTTAGAGAGCTCTTTTTGACGATACAGCCTTATGTTGCAATTAGAGTGCACTAAATACGATGCTATCAATGATTTACTTTTAAAATTGAAAAAAAAAGCTATTTTAGAAAAAAGAAGTATTTCAAACAAACAAACCTCTTCTCATCTTTTAAAGCTAATTAATTTTTATAATATAAAATTAAATGCTAACTTAAACATAATTGTTTATTTATTTAAAGTAGCTTTATAATTGGTAAATTTATTTTTACACATATTACTAGTTGGGATCAATTTTATAGATGCTATTCATCGATCTGTTTATTTATTTATTTATTTTTTTCCAATGGCAGGCACTGAACATTATTCTTTTGCCTATACTATGCCAGAATTGTTGCTCATTTCGCGTTACCCAGTGGGCACCTGTGAACCAAAGTCACGGAGGCGAGCAACATTGCCCACGCCACACTGCCACAACCCGTTTATAGGGTGGGCCACATTTACACATCATACACACACACAACAGAGGACAGCACAGAGAGAGAGAGAGAAACATCCATGCCCAGAGCGGGATTCGAACCCGCAGCCTATGGCTTCGCAGTCAGGCACGCTAACCGCTCGGCCACCTGGCCGGCTCGATCTGTTTATAGAAATGGCATTTCTGCACCCAGAAAATGACACTGACTAATTAAATTAAAAATCGTTTGCAAAAAATCATATACCTTCCATAACAGTTCTGAGGTCAATGGAGGTAACCTCTAAGAACGACCAATTTCAATCAATGACCATTTTAGTGTGGAACGGAGAGTGGTCACTCCAGAGAGGTTTCACTGTATTTCGGTATTGTAAGTTGTTATAAAAAAATTTCAATGAATTGATAGGGGTTTTTTGACTCTCAATCCATTCATCAAAAATCTAAAGAAATGAAGTTAGTAAAAAAAAAAAAAATGTGGTATATTGATGTATAAAAAATCAGCACGTTAAAAGTCATATTTATACTTGCAGACTTCTCCGCACAGCAAAACCGGTTTTTTTTTCTATGTTATTAAATAGGAAAATAGTATATAGAGGAAAAACCTTCTCCCAAATTAACCCATTTGCTAATCCGCCAGTGGGTTAAGTAAGATTTCATTATAGCAACGATTGGAAAAAAGAGTTTATTTAATATCAAATAACTTCTTCTCATGACTTTAAAATACAAAAATACTGATTTTTGTAACCAAGTAGTTTTGTTTCATTGCTTTAATATTTTTCGAAATAAATAAAACAAAAAATGAAATTTTAAAACACAAACATTGTTTCGATACCATTGTCAATTCTAAATTCGTGTTCCGATCTTTTTTCCCCCAGTTCATGCAGTTGATTTTCTCATGTTTTTTAAAATTCCAGTATTATTACGGCACACAAAATTTGAATCGCGCGTTTGATTAATCGCTTGCTGATGGGCTCGATTTGCGTTAATACCATTGTAAATCCATGTGGTGTTTCGATCGTTTTTGATGCGTCCGATTCGCCAAAATTTCGTTGATCAATTTTTTTCTGGTTATTGCTGCAGATTTCACAATATTCGATTTTTTTTTTTTTTACACGACTTACATAGTGCAAAAAAAGGAGAAATATGGAATTTGTTTCAATATATTCTATTATGTGTTGATAACACAAAAACATTTCTTAGATAAATTTTCTTTATCTTTTAAATTTTATAAGTTACTTTTATGCATAAAAATTAATATTTTATTAAATGAGTACTTAAAAAAATACACATTAAGAAAAAAAAGAATTCAGATAATTCCTTCTACCAGCAATCACGTGTCTAATATTTTTGTAAAAAAAAAAAAAAGAATGCGAGGGGAACAATTCTTTCCTGTATCGTTTATGTTCAGGAACTAGTTAATTTTTAAAATGTTTCTTGGTTCCTTAAGTTATTGAAATTTACGATATTGCGTTCTGAAAAATTCATACAGATTCTTTACGCCATAATAACACAGATTTATCTCTCTCTCTCATTCATATATATATATATATATATATATATCGTCAGTGCTAATTCTTCTTTAAATTCCCCTCTTTGAAAGGCTACCAACTGTATTTATAAAATTAAATGTTTAATTTGTGATGTTATATATATTGGACAAACCTCCCAACCCCTTCACAAAAGAATTAATTTACATAGGTCTTTAACAAATAAGTTTAACTGTAATAATAACAATAGCCTTGAAATTAAACATTTTTCTGAACACGGGTTTAAAAATATTTCAATAGAGGTTCTGGATTTCGTAAAAAACCCTAAAAAACGTCTTGAGGCTGAAAATAAATATATGATTATTAATGAATCTATTTTTCCTTACGGTCTAAATACTAACTTCAATTTTAAATCTTTTGATAATAATGAGTGTATTTATAATATTTTCAAACTTTTTAAAAATTACAATAATAATAATAGAGGAAAAAGAGGTAACAGTAAAAATAAAATTAAATATAACTTAAAAGATTTTGTTAATGATTGCATTAATTGTTATGATGAACCCAATGCTATTAAATCTATTAAAACTAAAATTCTAGGGGTTAAACTTAATTTTCACAACAAACTTTTAAATTTTTTAAAGTTAGATCAAGTAAAAATTAATTCAAATCAATATTTTTCTAATTTTTTAAACTTAGTAGAAGATCTAGCTAGATATAGGTTTAAGAATAATTATAAGCACAAGGATTTACCCAAACCAGATTATTTTGTTTTAGATTTTACCAATAAAATTTTTAATAATCTTAACATAAATGCCATTATAGGTAAAAATAAAAACCTTCTTCCTATCCAACTTAATTGCAAACCAACTTTCAGATACACTAAGAGTCTAAAAAATTTAATCTGTAATTATAGGAATATAGCTACAGATAATTTCAACTATGTATGTAATTGTGATGATTTTAAAGATACTCCTTTTTTTGATAACTTCCATAAACACGTTATTACAGGGGATTTAGATATTATTGACAACGATAATATTAAAAAATTTATGTCTTTAGGTTCAAAATTTAGACCATCTTTTCCAACTTCAAAAAACAAAGTTATTTCCATTTTTATTAAAAATCTCGATGATTTTATTTTAAAATTATCTTACAAACATAATTTCCCAATTGAAGGTTTCTTTGAATGGAGAGAGAATATCATTAAAGATTTTAAAATCAATATTAAAAGGGACAAATTAGTTTTTCAAAAGGATTTAATTTTNATATATATATATATTTATATATATATATAGCACAAGGAGAAAAACGAGGAAATTTAATAAGTTTTATTTACTGCGCATAAGCTGCAAGTATATAGAACTCATCAAATAAGTTAAATTTAGCGAAAACATGGAAAATAATGAAGAAAATATAAAGCTTAATGAAAAGAGAAGAAAATTTATTGCAATAAAATATTTAAAAAAAATATATATTTACTAAAAAATTGGCATCCCACTAGAGGTTAGTTAACTGTTGGTCAGTTCTGATTCACTAGTTTTAGATGTTTTCATTCAATTGCTATCTTAAGTTAGTCCGATTGGGAGCAATACTTTTTTTTTAATCCTGTTTTTTTTAAATATGTCCATACACCACCCTCTAAAAATCAGTGTTAACTGTCGGTGCAACCTAACGTATAGTCCTGTTGGATAATGAGATTTTGTTTGTAAAGGATATAAAATGTCTCCTGAAATGTTATTCCCAGCTAAAAATTCGAAGCATTTTAGATGTGAAACGTTACAGAAAAAATAAACAAATTTCTTAAAGATGACTAGGAGTATGAAAAATAAATATTTATTGTCAACAGTTTTGTTTTTAATACAATGAATGAAGTAAAAACTCATTTCACATTTGGGTCGAGAGTGTAGCCGAAGAAACGTTGGAGCAACAAAGGAACTTGCGGGGGAAACAAACTGAAAGAGAGAATATTTTTGTCTTATACAAAATGTAAATTATTTCATTTGCTTGAAAGTTTTCGATTGGAAAATTAACTACTGCAGACACAAAGTTTTGCTGCAATTTTCAGGGTTTGAGGCAATATATCAGGGGGTATTCCGGGTTTTTCGTAATATCCTTCCAAAAATTGGGAGGGCATATGGTTTTTCTGGGAATATCGCAGAATTCCGCAAGACCACTGGCTCTCCAATTTTCGCTAATCAAAAACTTAAAATCCGACGAAATTTTCACGGAATTCCTCAATTTAAAATTCAAATTGAAACTTTTTCTAATTCTCGCTAACAAGACGCTCACATACACGTGATTCTCCCGCCAAATAGGATTCTTTTGGTTTGGCGGATTTTCGTAAGTTAGACTATTTGGAACTGCTCTGGAATCCACAAATAGCTCGATTCGTATTCACGCGGTTTGAATATCAAACATCGATTTTTATATTCACCTAATTTAAAAGTGACACGTCGCGATTCGTATTCACGTGATTAAAAATTCGAGTAATGCGTTTCGTATTTCACACGAGTTCAAAATCCTTTGTAACAATTCGTATTCTCGCGTTTTCAAAGTCCGATAGTGCGATTAGTTTTCACGCGTTTGTAATATCACGAATCGATTTTCGCATTTTTACGTACTTTAAAAGTTGCGCATTGCGATTCTTATTTATGTGTTTTTGAAATCCTATATCCCAATTCATATGCACGCGATATTAAAATTCAATATCGCGATTCATATTCACATGATTTCCATCATCGAGATTCTTGTAACAACTTTTCTTACAAATTATTTACTATAAAAGTGTGATGTTCTCCATTGGTAGGTCATTTAATTATAAATCTAATTTCAAAAAATTATGTTGTATACAAAACATGTATAAATTGATATCTATTTTTTCCTTATAAAATTTTTATTATTTTTCACGTTCTGTTTCAATCGTCTCTGATACATGCACTTGTTTCTTAAAACTCTCAAAACCCCTCTCCCTATAAAAATTTTAAAAGATCAGCAAACGAGTGAATATTACGAGATTAATACAAGGGTTGATGTCTAAAATTTTCCACAGGTAATGCATTATAATTGTTAAAGCTTTTATGTTTATAGTCCGTATAGTCACCTTTAATTTTATCAATCTATATTTTCCCTTCGTTTCTATAAATTCAAAGTATATCTCGTGATCAAAAAAATTTCAGTTTTAATTTTTTTTTTTGTACATCAAAAAGATTTCTAAAGTTGACCTATTTTTAAAACCTCTCGATCAAGTGTTACGGGATTCAGTTTATTTTTTTTTTTTGTACATCAAAAAGATTTCTAAAGTTGACCTATTTTTAAAACCTCTCGATCAAGTGTTACGGGATTCAGTTTTAATTTTTTTTTTTTTGTACATCAAAAAGATTTCTGAAGTTGACCTATTTTTAAAACCTCTCGATCAAGTGTTGGTATTAAAGCGAAATTATTTCAGTCTTAAATACATTATACGAGAAAATTAAAATTATTTTGAAAGATCGCAGGAAAAAGGTTTACATCATAGATAGACTTGCTGAAAATCTTAACCTAGCGTGACATATACGTCAGGCACATTACAAGAATTCTTATCTGAAACAGGACTGTTTTCGCATCAAGCAAATATTTTATCATTCTTTTCAGAAATCAAGCTTTAGCTGACAGAAGAAAATATTCATTTAGTTAAGAAAAAAAAAACACTTTAATGGGAGCTTTTCTTTTGTCACGGCACATAAAGAATTCAGACGTTAATCGGTTAACCTGATTAAATAGTAATTTCGCTCTTTTTTGTTGTTGTTGAAAAGATCACATTAATGGAGAGATATACTTTCGTTTGAAAATTAACGTTAATTATTCGTTTAAAAATATGATAATTAACATTTACTTACTTTGAAATTTTGTAAATGACGTGAGCGAACGTGGGTATGACTACGAATCTTTTATTCCTCAAAACGGAATTCACGACAACATCAGAAACTTTATCCGGCTCTAGGATGGGCAACACAGATGGGAACCTGAAATTTAGAATGAAAGAAACAATTCTTATAACTTCTGAATGAATGATAGAATTCTAAGACATATTAATGATACATATGACATGATAAATATTTAGGAAAGTTGACACAAAAGCGCGATTTCTTCAAATAAAACTACTATTATTTTGAAATCTGAATCTAAACCACCAAAATTTTAAGTAGATCAGTCAAAAAATGTGACTCTCTACATGTTTTTATATTTTACGTTCATCATTTTTTTTGGTAATTGAGGAAATCAAAACTGGAAAAAAATGGGGGCTCGTTCTTAACAAATCAAAAGGGCGCTCGTTCAACAAATGCCTCGTTTTAACAACCCATCAGGATCGAAATACCACACATTACGTCACTTACAGGTATCCCATTGTGCCTCCGATATGAATCAAACGTTTAACGAATAGTTGCCACTACAAATTGACGCTAAACCAAAATTATTTGGTTCGTGAATAAGACATCTTGGTCAACCCTGTGATAAATATGTTTTGATAACTTAAGTATATTAATACGTTACCACAAATGACCTCTAAAGCCGTCCGATTTTTGGAGACATGTAGACAAATGGCGGAATAGCCTTATTGCGCATTTTAATTAATGAAAAAAAGTATTGTTAGAAGGAAGTGTATTAATGTATTTATTTGTTAATTATTCAGTGATACATCGGGGAGGAAAAAAAGAGATGTAACATTCCAGATGACAAATTTTTTTCGCATCTAAACAAAAACGACTGCTATAACAGTCATACATAACAAACACTTCATGAACTTTAATTTAGTTGTAAAGTCATAAACAATTGGGAAAAAAATGTGTTTCTGAGCACGATCGTCAAATTAAAAGTGCGTGGCAACTTGTTAAAAAAAAAAAAGATCTTTTTCTTAGAAAATTCATAACAAAGTTTTTTCTTAACAGTTAGCTGACAGATCGGCGTTGGCTATAGTTGTAGCTGTTAAAAAATGAGTGGTTGCTAGCTTATAAGCCGATCGTTCAGTCGACAAAGTGTCAATAGTAGTTGTAGTACTACATTATTTACGTAGTAGTACTACATTATTTGCGTAGTAGTACTACTATTATTGACACTTTGGCGATAGTAGCACTACATTTACGTAGTACTAGAGTTGTACAATGGGCTATTAGCGCTAGTCTGGAAAACGTTCTCGATTATCCGAAGTCATGCCATCACGATTTTGATCCCATACAAAATATAGTAGTAGTACCTGGTTTTTGGTTTCTGTACAAGACCAGTATTGATAGTAGTGGGACAGATGACAGTCATTTCTATCTGGTCCTCTCTTCCCATCTCGTACAGTTCTTCCTTTAGAGCTGACATCAGTCCTACGACCGCATACTTGGAAGCACTACAACAACAATTAACTCAAATTATTAAACCAGAAAACAATTAAAATAATACTTAAAATATGTAAAATAATAATTAAACCTACAATTATTATAATAATTAAAAAATGGAATGAAATAAAATAACGTTTCGAAGATGCTCAACAGCTCGTAAGAATGCTTTTATAAGAAACTCCGGTGAACTAGTGTGAATAAGGTTTTTTTTTAAAAACTTCCTTCAATATAAATTATTCACTAGCCTATTGAATTAACGCTACTTACTGTACTTTTTAAAACTTTTAATTTTGAAGAACTTGATTGACATTTAACTGTTTATATCTAAAGCAGATTTCTTTAATGATGAATATCAACTTCACTAAATGACCGCATTGTTTCATTCAAAGAATAATAAAAAAAATTAACAAAAGTAATTGCAGAAAAGAAAATAGATGGTAAGGAAGTCAGAACATTAAAATAAAAGAGTGAAGGTAATTAAAAATAAGAAGACAAAAATTAAAAAATCCGATGGCCGCAATGTTACCCATTGGCAAAATGGTTGTTGTCTAATTTTTTTTTGTTGGAAAAGCAGCTTTATTGTATTTTTATCTTAGACATCTTCTGTTCATCTTGAACTGCTCGGTACATAATTTCGCATACATATTTGAATGCAGCTTAGACACATTCTGTGTGAATTCTTTTGATGACTGAACAGTCATTGAACAGCCAATCGAGATCAATATTAACATTTTCGGATGGGTACAAATGGTGTTTGTAAGCTGCATCATACACCCGTTTCGGATTCACAAGTTCATACATGAAATGGGATTTGAAAGCTAAATTTTTTTTAAAAATTTTGAATGAATCATTTATATTGCTTGGAAGGCAGTCTACGGTATTTGTGCAAGCCATTGGGTATGTTGACAATGAATCCTTTAAACCCTAACTGGTGATCGCCACCCAATTCTCGTATTTGTATGAAAGGGGTTCGGAGAGCCACCATTCGCTCTTCGATAGGGTTCAATTCTGTCAACCACTTTGGTACTTTTGTGAGGAACGGGTTTCATGCTTTCGTTTGCAAACGTAATCCTTTCGTTTTTATGTTTGTGTATGACTCTCAAGGTATTCCCATCTACGTTCTTTTTCAGCCTCAGTAAGTATAGGCTGTAGCGTAACTAACATTACGATTATTAAACATCAATTCACTAGCATATAACACATGCTAACTTGATTTAATCTCGAGATACTTTTTGATAGATGAAGGTTGTCTAATGGTCTTTCCCCATAAGGCCTTAGCATCGTTTTTTTTTCTTGCTTCAACTCTAACCTTTGGGACACTCTTTATTTATGATATTCACCTGAATTAGTATTGAAAACGAATCAGTTTGAACTGTAGGTTAGAATTTTTGATTCTTAATTAAAAAAATATGTATATAGTGTTCAAATGATGAAATTCTCTTTTATTCACAACTCAAGAAGTATTTATGGGGTCTCTCTGATCCCATCTCAAAAATAAACTCTCCAGTTTAATGAACAAAGTGAAAAGAAAAGAAATCTAAAAAAAAAAAAACTATCAAACAGCTGCGTCGCCATATTAAAGCATGCAATGGCAACACATGCGCACGCCATCAAGCCCAAAACAAGACCCATTTTGTCAATGGGTAACAAGATATAAATAAACAAAAAGCGCGAATAAATCAATAGAAATTGGCATACTACAATATAATTTTGGTTTTACAAGCCACTTTGCCGAGTCTGTCTTGCTACTTTTCTATTGTCATTTTGTGTTAACACACTGGAGAAGGTTCTTGTTAATAGAACCGAAATTATAGTATATCTATTTCTATACAGTATTCACATTGTTTTACTTTATTCATGAGTAGTACAAAGTATCCATCTTCATTTGGATACGTGACATCTTCTAAATTATTAAGGAGAACAAAACTTGTTAAAAGTCGAATAATTCTTATAAGTCATTCTACAAAGTATATCCCATTCTCAATTGAAAACATGACTTCTAAATTACGAAGAACAAGAGCTGTTAACAGTTGAATAATCTTATAAATCATTCTAAAATTGAATAATTGTTAAGAATTGTTTGAATAATTGTTGAACAGTTGAATAATTCTTATAAGTCATTCTAAAATGATAAAGCGAAAATTCTAAGTGTTTATTTGAGTTAATAGTAGCTTAAAAATTTATGCATTTGTCCTTTTTGTATGGAGAAAGAAAAGTTAGGCTTTGCCTGTATTTCTTTAGCTTCCAATTGTGTTAACATACTGGAGAAGGTTCAATAAATAATATCTATAAATCCCCAACACTCATTTGACGTTTTAATATGCCGTCAAATGAGAGTTGTTTTTTCTTTAAAGGTTTTTTGTTGCCAAACACACCATCTCCTATTCCCCCGAAGCAATCGAAATTCGACAGTTATCGCTTTCATTCTCTTAGATCGTCAAAATTTAATGAATAAGCGAAATAAGTCTATGTCGTACAGTAACAAGAAATCGTGATATAAGAAAAATGAACTTTCTTTCGATACTCTCTTCAATATTATTAGATTTATCCAGTAAAATTCGAAGTGGATTTGTTGATGTATCTGTAAAATTTTGTTTACTCTAGGCCTTCCGAATCCCGGAGAGAATTGTGACTTTTACTTGTCATTAACTTCGGGTAAACAAGATTCGTTAATGGCATTCTTTGATTCACGCTATCAGCGGGAAAATAATAAAAATAACTTAATGCAGAGACTCCTGTCAAAGACCGCACATTTATTTAAAGAAAGTACGTTTGTGAGTTACATTTCTGTGTACTGTGATAATGAAAAAGTTTGCGCTCGAAGTCGAGCACTTTACGGTAGAATAGTTTAAGAAGGACTGATTATTTATTAATGTGGTCACCCACCTCCTCACTGACCGCTGCCAGATAGGCTTGACTTCGGTGATCTACTAGGAACCTTGTCTTATATCAATCCACTGAGGGACTCGTTAGTTTGAATTAAAGCGTACATACGGTGTTGCAATGCTTCATTATAATCCAAGTGTGATAAATATTCAAATAGAGTACGAAAATAAGTGAAGGATAGACAACATCGCACTCACATAATTAACTCAGCACGAAAAAGACTTCTTGCGGCCAGAAATGTTTATGGAAATTAGAATTATTTTTATTAACCTTTTTTATGAGGACTTTAGTAATAAAATTTGACGACACCCTGTGTGGATTGTATATAAATAGATTTTATTATTACCCGTCCTGTTTACAATTTAAAGTGAGAAGTTGATGAGCACTGTTATTTGTCTTTTGAAAGTAGGAAAAAATACTTCAAACTGGGGAACATATGGAACAATAGGATTATAATAGCTTCTTAAAATATTTATTAATATTTTCAAAAATTTATTTCACTGTTTATAAGAATCAATAAATAGCTTACTTTATGCTAAAAATATTTTTTTTTATCTGATATCAATTGAAAATAGTTAACTTAATACTTACCAATAGTCAACAAGATAAGCACTACCCAACATACCAGCTACGGAAGCAATTGCCACCAGATGTCCTTCCCCTCGCTCAAGCATTCGAGGCAAAAACTGACGAATAGTCTGAAAAGTTAAGAATTTGCAGTTAATGTAGTAGAATAGACTCATTTTTGGTGGGAAGAGTAGAGATTGAAGCAGTGTAGCTAGTCGGAAAGTGGTTGAAATTTCGATTGAAAGATTTCCACACGCTGTTTTCATTTTTTTTTATAGATTTTGATTTAATTTTTGTAATGTAAATTCATTTCGATTTAATGAACAGTATGTTATTTTTATATTTAAGTTTACAAAAGCACATTAATAGATTTGAAAAAAAAGTTGTCACTATATTCGGGTTACTAAGCTACGCAGTGGAGGAAAAATAGGAAAGATGACATTGGTTTGGATTACTAAACGATCCCATTTCTTGTTTATGGTAACCCGTGCTGAGGTCTTCTCTCTTCTACGCGGTATTGGACCAACCTCCACTTTTTAAGGGAAAAAATTCACATCTGACTGATTCAGAGAAAGTATGTTTTTGTGCCTCACTTTGTAACTTAAAATATCTAATTAATTAGATCAAAAGTTATGAATGTGTTCGCTTTTATTTGTAGAATAGTGTAAATGTGAAGTAAAAGTCTTTCTTACCCAGAAATGAGCTAAAGTGTTGATTTCCAGTGTTTTCTTTATCTGACTACTGGAGAGTTCCAGGAGGGGTTTACCGGGCAACACCCCCGCATTGTTGATGAGAATGTCCACATCACCCACATCTCGACGAACTTTATCCGCCAACTCCTCCACCTGATTTTCATTGCTCACGTCGCAAGTGTACGCATAAGCTTTACATTGCATTTGTTTGATGTTATGAAGTGTTTCATTGTTGTGGACCTGAAGAAAAACAAACAAATTTTAATTGGGTAAATACAAACACTGTACAACATGAAAAATGTTCTTTAGTTGAAAATACCTGCATATTTTTGGCTGAAAATAATGAATCTTTAATTATTTTTTGCTTTTCATGCAATCTTTGCCGAAAATCCATATTTTAGCTTGGCGAATAAATATTTTTAAAGCACACAATAACAACTTATAGTCAAAGATAAGGCACGATGACTAATAAGTAAGAAATGGGTGATCATTTTGGTAACCATGACAATTTTCACAACAGAAGCTTTCTTTACCCAGTTAAAGTTTCGAAGCTCAGTGCGCTTTCCTCCCATTCGAAATTGGACTTAAATATACATTTTGGGATTAAACAGTGCATTTTCTATTATTCTTTGCTAGATGGTAGGTAATTAGGTGTTTTATTTACGTCGCTCTTGTGCTGCTCAATGGGCTATTGGCGACGGTGTGGGAAACATCCCCGAGGATGATCTGAAGACATGTTATCGTAGTTTTGATCCTCTGCAAAGAGGATGGCTCCCCTGCTTTGGTATCTCGATGAGCTGCGCGTGAAGTCTAGCACTTTACGGTTGAACAGTTTAACGAGGATCGATACCACGCATCCTCGATCCCAACGTAAGCTGATCAAAGGGGTCACCCACCCGCTTACTGACAGGAGCCAGTGATGCTTGACTTCGGTGTTCTACTGGGAACCGTGTCTTTACGATCAGTCCATTGCGGGACGGTAACTATACTTAGAGTTGAATTCAGATAGAATGTCAAATCTGGCCCTAGACAAATATGGTTATTTTCTTTGATCATAATCGTATGGTTATGGTTATTTGATCATATACTTATTTTATTTGGTAATAGTTGTTGGGAACTTTGTTTGTCAGGGCTGGTTTAGGAAAAAAACTTTTAAGTTTTTTTTCATAAGGCAAAGTACTAAATTTAGGACTAAACTGCCTTTCGGCCACAAAACTTATTTCACATTTTTTTTCTTACTATTGTAAGTAAATTAAGCACTCATTTTTTGACACTTTAAAATTTCTTCAATGGCATTACTCCTTGTGAAAATTGTTCAATAAGACTTGATGTTTTTTATTTCTAAAGATAAATATGTCTGGCATGATTCAAAAACAAAATAAAAAAATAAACATGTCTGATTTAGAAAAGAAAAAGTGAAACCGTACAAATTTTTACAGATTAATAGCTTTTGGCAGGTTTCATCTGGCTTCGTAATCAGCTTTTTATATTTTTACACACACGAAGAGAAAAACGCGTCAAAATATTTAGTCACCGGAATTAAAGTACTTATATTGGAGGAAGTGGCATTTTTCAAAGGCATTTTTGTGGGAAAATTTTTCTAAGGCATTTTTGTAATGCATTAATTGGCATTTTTCAAAAACAGTGAAATGTATGAGAGTCTCAATTATCTTAAGTCAAATTTAAGTACACAGCATTGATTTATTTCGGGAAATCTTTGACCCTTTTGCGGATCAACAGGTTAAGGTCCAACCATTCGAGATAATCGGAATCAATTTTTTTTAAAAAAAAAATATAATATTTTGGAAGCATTTAGACATGAATTAACAACAGCATTGAATCTCAGAGATTTCAGTGGATGAAGGTATAAAGTAATAACCTTTCTTTTTAGAGTAGACAGAGGTTCGAAGCGCATATAATTACGAAATGTTTACAAATAACTTACGAAATCAATTTTAGGGGGTAGGAGCAATTTAAATGGCTAAGACTGTGAACGATACAATGTTAAAAGTTTAAATGAACGTCAGGGATTTATTAATGTAATTAGCTGAAAGTTTACCGACGAAAACTAAAAGCTAGGCATTGTTTCATTTTGCGTAGTCAACATACACACTTCAACGCTAGTTTACACAAATACAGTGAAATCTCCAGGAAAACCACCTCTATGTAGCGACTACCTCTATTTTTTCCATAGACTTCTTGTTGAAGAAAACCTTTAGGAGAGATCCTTAAAACCTCTCTTAGCGACCGGAACATTTGCAATACCTGAACCAAATGCAGTAATAAGGAGGGGAAAAGGAGGAGGGGAAAAAAATTTCAAAATAAAATTTTTTTACTAAACAAATAAGTAGATTAAAATGTATTCAAAATATTTGTGTGAGGGTCTTATTTAGGGAGCTCTTATTTGACGATACAGCCTCATAATGCTGTCTGAGTGCACTAACGACGATGCTGTCAATGATTTCACACATAATTATGTTAGTTGGGATCCGTCTTTTCATGAAGCAGCACCCAGAAAATGACACTGACTATAATTAAAATCTTTTGCAAAAAATAATCTACCTTCGATAATAATTTTAAAGTCAATGGAGGTTACCTTTAAGAACGTCCCACCTTCATCAACAACCATTTTACTGAGAAGTGGCCACTCGCGAGAGGATTTATCTAGCTTAGATCTCTGATTGAAGCAAGCAGGCATTCTCGCAACAGTTGTCCAGGAATTCGTATTGCTTAAGGCTTCACAACTGGCTGATAGAAGTATTTTTGTGTCGAACCAATTTTTTGAAAGAGGTGAGAAAAAATGAAATTAAATGTTGGCTCTCTATTATAGAATGAATGTTATAATGGTTGTTAAAATAACATTAAAACTATGAAATAATATAAGAGACTTGGTGTATGGGTCTTATAAATCTCCTGCAATACAGCGGCCAATATTTTATCACTCAAAAAATTTTAAGATTTTTTTTTTTGTTTCTTTGTAATGCCTTTACAAAGTGAATTACTGTGTAGAAATATAATTGGATTTATCCTTATTGGATGGAGGAGTTTTCAATGACTGCAAAGGGTTAGATGGTAACCTCTTGGACAATTTTATGGTATATAAGATACCTAACAACTTTTATTGAATGGATTCTTTTTCATGATCGAAATGGGATGAAATACACTATAAAGTAACCTACGCAAAATAAGAGAAAAAAATCTAAACTTTTTATATGATAAGTAAAAATAACTGAAAAATGGTAAGTTTAATGAATTAAATTTACTTTTGAGCAATATTTTATCGCATTTTTGAGTTGCGTATTTTTAAGTAAATTTCATTTTCTACCATTATATAAGAGCTCAGGAGTCGCTGTAAGGGTGGGACGCAATAAAGAGCGTAGACCGCATTTTCATTACAGAAAATAACAAAGTTGTTATAATTAAAAAAATAGTTTTTGGATATGGAGTAGAGCTTTTGGCAATCGCCCCTTTTTTGAGCTACGGTGGTTCAGGAAATAGAGCGTTCGCCTTCCAATGCGATGAACCGGGTTCGAATCCCAGCGACGGCTGGTTGATACGAATTCCACATCTAGCTTGCACTGACTACAGTGCAGACGTAAAATATCCTGAGTGGTAGAGGGATCATGGGTTAGAGTCCCCTTGCCGTCAAGCTAACCGTGGGAGGTTTTCATGGTTTGCCACCCCAAGTAACGCAAATGCGGGTTTATTTCATTAAAATGTCCTCAAAGAAGGTAAAATTTCTCCCAACACTTGATCCAGGAGTTTCATTGTCTTCTGTGTTAGGCTCAAAATTACAAGGCTACGTAGTTGAATATTAGTAGTCGTAAACCCAAAAATTGTATCAACTTTTCAACGACGGTTATAATATAAAATAAAATTGCCCTGCTTTATAAGGAAAAAGAAATGGTTGCCACTGGTCATAAGGCGACTAAATGCAACAAATGGCGATTATAATATCTGCTAATCGCCACTTTTTTAGTCTAAAATGCACCCCGTGTGTATTTTGTTAACGTTTTTTTTTTTAAAAATTATTATATTATTATGAATATTTTATAGGAGGCTAAGAGCTATTAATATACATGAATAATTTCACTTTGTAATAAATTTTTAAAATAGCAACTACAATTAAAATCATCACAAATTTGGCGAGTGCATAACCGCCATTTGATATTATCCAACAGTCTAATAAATTAAATACAATTTGTGAATGCATCACAATGTGAATGAAGTTGATCGTTGAGTTCTTCATCATTTAACGAATGCCTATCTATAATTCATAAAACTATATTAATATAATTTGCATCAAAAAATGACAATTGCAAAACAGGTTTATAAGCTTAGACACCAATTCAAATAAGTTTATCTTAAAATGTAGGGTAAGAAGGTAATATCATGGAATGTTTTTACAATAAAGAAACAAATCTTTTTGTTTTAAACTCTTAATTTAGTAAAAAATCAAAATCAAAAACGGAATAATAACGCAGTAGAATAAGAAAAATAATGATTACGGGTAAATAAATACTTTTAAATTTGGGATATAAAAATATTTTACAGGAAAACCTTTATGACTTCTTATTTTATGCCGATGACAAAAAAATATGGGAAAAATAAATCCTACCGTGTGATTTATTCGGGCCAATAAAAATGAAAAACTTCGATACCATCCTCAGATTTTGTGAAATAGTAAGATACTAAAATATGTTTTGTTTCACGCCCGTCATTTTAATTTTTTTTCTCTATTTTAAAAATGAACTTGGTATTATTTACCATATTTTGGAAAATGCATTAAACGAAAAGTCTCACATTATTTATAATTTTTTTTTAAAGAAATTATGAATGTTCTTTAATTATTCAAAAAGTAGCAATTGTTAAAAAATATTAGAACTGGCCACTGAACAGTTCTAAAATTTCCTAATTTTACCCTGTCCCACTCTTACGACGGCTCTTCACATCCTTCATCCACTATCATAGAAACATAAGAGATATTGGTTACATTTACTTGACGGAATGAATGCATTCTAATTAATTGGAGAGACCGGTTTAGTTTTGACATTTGAAAGGAAGTCCTTGCCCCCAGAGATATGACTGATCAGAAAGGAGAAACTTGTTTGAAACAAAGACTTGTAATGGGAGAAAATCCCGTGAGATGTCAACAGACAGACAGTCCGCTTCTCATCATTGATTACCAGATTGATTTAAATAAGTTACTGATTTAAGAAGAAAAAGACATGGCTATAAAATCACGTGAGTTTGAGTCCAGCTGATTTTAATCTTGCTGGTTTCAGAATATAAGGTTAAAGTTGGACAGGGTTGATTAAATGTACAATTGAATGACATCAAAGTCATTTTAGTTAATAGTGTTCAAAACTGAAACGAAAGCAAGGAATGTTACTTGCAAGTCATTCTTTGCAGCAAAGTCAAACGTAACGTAAATTTAAAAAAAAATATATAACGTGAAGCGAAAAAGAAATAAAAAAATTCCCCAAAAAACACTTAAAATGACAATAACTTTTCAACAAAATGGATTTTGGGAAAAAAACTGCGTCAAGTTCATAAACAAATCTGTCCATTTCAGCGTGATAAATTTTAAATCTGTATAGTTATATTCCTGTAAAGCGGCTGTAGGTCATTTTTTCCAACAAGTTAATTCTTTATGAATCGAATGTTACTTTTTTTTCCGTCGTAATTTCTGTACTCTTTTCTACACCCCTTCATGAAGTCATGTTCTGAAGTTATTTATTTTTTAACCAGTAAACAAAATGCTAAGTTAAGCTGAATACTCAAAACACAGCGGCGGCCCTTTCGATTTTTTAATATCGAAAGAAATCAATGATATAAATGCGAAATAATTATAGAGGTCAGTGAGTGAAGTTCAAAGAGAGGTTGAGCTTCCTAGTAATCAAAACAATAAGAATTCAGGCTTAAAATCTTCCATAAACAATTTATACTTGATTTGAATTATAAAAGCATGAATACCTAATGTAACTAATGGGATGTCTACAAGTGACATAGTGCGGGTATCTCTATCCAGATTGGTTCTGAAAACGCGGCTTTTGTTTACGCTAGCAACTGTTCTTTCTATTGTATTTCGAGTAAGCCAAGCTCCTCAAGCAACAATTCTCTTAAGTGACGCATTCTAAATTCTTTCTCAAGGATTCTTTCTCTTTATATTTACACAAAGACAGGCATGAAGCCACGTGGAACATAAACTAATTCTGCATCGAAGTTGCCAGGTACACAAAACAATCATGGTTACAATAAAATGCATAAACAAATCTAAGTAAAAGAGGTAGACGAGAAAGAATTTTATTTCAATTAACACGATGTGCTGCTATACGGTTCTGTATTTAATTAACTTATCTTTAATTGACATTTTAACTAATGTATAGAAACTTCAATGCGCCATTTTGCTGCAAAAGATTAGCTGGCTCTGACGTCACAGGTCACATGTGTGGGTATGGAAGGTCTTCCTGAAGTGCAAGTACTCAATTCTAAATTTAGACGCTTGCCTTTGTTGAGACTTGCCATTTTTTCCAAATAAAATGGTCATGTATTGGTGTCAAAGGAGACAAAAAATGGTTTGATTGTTTTTAACTTTTTTTGGAACATAAATGACATCACATTTTCTTCTTCACTACATAATATTAATTGCTCAATAAAATGTACAATAGTATGCCTATGTAGTGAATGATTAATATGCTAATGGGTTATAAAATTTGACTATTTGCCGTTATCATTTTTACTTCCACATTTGAAATTTTTAATTGTTCTTAAAAAATACCACATTTTTTTATTTATATTTACATCGTAAGAATAGAATCAGGTGTTTTAAGACATAGAAATATTAAAGTTGAAAAAAAATATACTTTAACAAAAATTTGAAATTTACTTCTGAAATGCGTAAAGTTTATATTTAACAAAAACTTCGAATACCAGCAATAGCTGGTTGAAACGAATTTCGCACCCGGCACGCACCGACCGCAATGCTGACGTAAGATATCCTCAGTGGTAGACGGATCATGGGTTTAGACTCTTCTAGCACTCAGGCTAACCGTGGAAGGGTTCCGTGGTTTTCCTCACCATGTAACTCAAATGTGTATTTGTTTCATTAAAAAGTCCTCCATGAATCCAAACATTTCTCCCAATACTTGATACTGGAGTTCCCTTGTCTTCCGGATTTTGTTCAAAATGACAAGGCTACGGAGTTGAACATTAGTAGTTGTAAAACTGAAATCTGGTCTGCTGTTCAACGACGTGTATGAAATAAAATGTCCCATTATGCAGCTCTAGTGTGAAATATAAACTCGGAATGGAGGCTTGGTCTTTCTCGTTCCGCCGGTCCTGACTAGGTTAAACTGCATGAATTTGTGACCAAACACCCTAATGTGTCAGGCAATTCTGTTCCATTTAAATAACTGTTACATTTCATTGAAAATTATATCCCAGAATATGCTATAAGACAGGGTAAAAAAATCTTGTTAACAAAAAACTATTTAAATCTGATTTGTTTAATTTTTTTCTCTGTGGAGTTTAAGTATCAAGTATTAAAAGTTTCAGTTAAATTTTAGTTTGTCGAGAATTTGAAAAAAGTAAAAAAAAAAAAAAAAAAAAAAAAAAAAAAAAAAAAAAAAAAAAAAAACATATTTTCCACTATTTGTTATGTTTAGATTTCAAAATTATGCAATCGATTACTTGATTCACTTGTCGTAGTAAGGACAAAACGGATTCCCTATTTCTGCACTCAATTCAGTGAAAGTTACTTGAATTGCAGTATATTAAATAACTGAAAATTAAAGTATTCTTTAAGTTAAAAAGTGAAACATTTTCATAGAGTCAGAGAGTTTTTGAATCTGGATACAGCTCGAGATGTGTGCTTACGAAAATGGTCACAGCAAAAAGAAAGAAAAAAAACACCTTTGCAATTAAAATTTAACTACTAAACGAGGAATTACGTTCTTATTTTTCCTTACTTATTTTAACAGTAAGCATAATCAGTAGGGGGCAAAGTCTGGACTTAGGGGGGTGGGTAAGAATATAACAGATGTAACTTTTCAAATGATGTATTCAGAATTCTGAACCGTAAAGTGAGCTTATAACTTAATTCCAATTGTGAGCTTAATGCGAGTTTTTTTTCTCTTTTTTTTTAAAATTTTGATTTGTTTGAACTACATTTTAAGGGCTTTTTTCGTGATTTTCACTTTAAACTAGATTATTGCTTTAATGTCAATTTATCCATAGAAAATTTTATTTCTCGGTGATATTCATTTTATAAGATCGAAATTTACTTAATGTCAAAAGTAACATATATATATATATATATATATTTATATAGGCTCAGCTCATGGTTGTGCTCAATATAGATTATACTTTAATAAAATAGAGGAAGTTTAATTATAGAAGGAAACGATTTTAAGGAGAAAGTTTAGTAAGACTAGGTTTTTAAAAATAATTTTAAATTTTAAATTTTTGTCGACCATCAAATATTCCTGCATTAATTTTTTCCGTACTCAACGGAAGCATTTTANGAAGCATGCAATTCATTAGATATTGCAATGAATTGGCTAGAACGTCAAAATGATGTTGATGTTCAGTTGATTTATTTAAAAAGAATAAGGTATATCGCTGCTCAAAAAAGAGCATCTTTGAAACAAAAGTCTTTGCTGGATTTCTTTTTCAATGGAAAATAAAGAAAAATGTGGTAAAATCAGCAATTGACAAAAAAAATTATAAATAGCTGAAGTATGATTAAAAAAAATTCAAAATTAAAAAAATTAAATAAAAATATTTAAAAATTGAATTTTTTTCTTTAAACAGAGCTATTTTCGATGGTACTGCCAGTTCTAAACCTGGAAAAAGTGAGAAAATGGAAGTTAGTGCATAAATAATAATCATTTAAACTAGATTTTAAACAACTTTCCAATTATCCGAAATTTTCATTATCCGATCCACGTTCGGTCCCGAGCAGTTCGGATAATCGGCGCTCTACTATATATATAAAGTGCTACTTCCTGGTATCCATTTGCCCGGTATGGCCAACATCAATGGTTTTTTGAGGAGAAGGGCCTCTGCCCAGTATGCATTTAACCGGTACCCCGAAAACTGATGTTTCTCCTAATCAATCCTTAGCAAATATTAAAATATCGCATAAATATAATATCAACGATTAAATTTATATAAAATCGGATATGACAATTATATAACAATACATTCACCGAAGCGACTATGTGATTGTTGACATTCATCGGTGAAAGTCGACATTCTCTTGATTTCGGTCACACTCCCGGTAACACACATATTGAACGAATTTAAATTTTTGAAGTAATTTTGATTGTGATCTTTGAGCATGCAAAAAAAAAAAGTTTAAGGACTTTATGTAGATCCTATTCCAGATTGGAAAGATAGAAGCTCGAATTTTCAAGTATACCTAAAAACTAGAATATTTCCCACGCATATTAAAATTCGTCGAAAATAAACATTTACTCTTACAGCAAAATAAAAATACATTATCAATAACTAAGAAAGTACGTCAAAGAAATGTGAAAAAAATTAAGTATTGGGAAATGTGATTGTTGCATTGTTTCTAATTGAATGTAAAACCTTTACTTTTTTTAAACATTTGTATAAATGTATAGAGAGTAGAAAAGGTTGAAGCTCTAACGTTTATATGTACGCTAAGATCAGCGCATCTCTCGCATGCATATTTAAACATTTTACGTATACGCTAAAAATAAATAGTTATGCTTTAATTGAAAACAATATTTTACCATTAAAAAATTGTCTAGCTAAAAAACAAAATTAACAGGAAATGTACTCTAGCGGAGTACCATTTCGCGTACAAATACATATCTTATAATTACAAAATGTATAGTATCATATAATGAAAGGTAGGGTTAAAAATTGTGAGAGAGAGCCTACTTCATTGAGATCCACCAAGACCAACCTCGCCCCGAGCAAAGCAAATTTTTGAGCTATCTGTCGACCGAGAACACCACCGGATCCGGTAACCAGGATAACCTTTTCCCGGACAGATTTCAATGGTTCCGGGATGATACACCTGAAGAGGGCAACAAAAGCAACGGCAATCGAATGCAAGATCACCCCGATTAATTCGAACGTCACCTCCAGGTAACTCATCGTTGTTTGAAATGCCGGTGTTTCTCTTCCTCAAAACCGGTGTGACTGCCTCCGGTTGAAAGAACTTTAATATTTTCTCTTCTTTTTTTATTATTATCATTATTATTACGAACTGATTTTTATTCCCTTCAAGCAGTTCGTTTTCCCCAAAATCTCCCTCAACCGTGAGCAAACAACGAAAAATTTGGTATACATTGCGCAATAAAAGAATTCCTTTGTGTCAAAGAGGGGAAACGCGTATTTTACAAAAATAGACTTTAATATACAACGCAGTTAATTGACAATAGTAAATGAGGAAATAATACTAAATTCTAGGAGGCTTCGTTTCCCACCCATGATTCCATCGAAATAATTTTTTTCCTTTGTCAATAGACAGATAGGTCACATCAAAATTTGGAATTATTTAAAAAAAAAAATTTAATAAAAGTTCATTGTAATAACAGAGATTTGGAGGAAAAGGGATTTTTAGGATTTATTAGGATAAAATTTAAGGATTTATTAAGAAAAAATTTAAACGTTATAATTAGAGCCCGGATTTTGATGACCTAAAAAATCTCAACTAATGCCCTTAAAGAGTGCAAACAATGCCCTTAAAAATGGCAAAAAAATGCCCTTAAAAATCCAAAAATTGCGCAAAAAATGCCTTAAATAAAGTAAAAATATTGAATTAAAAAAATGTTTTGCTCTTTAAAATTATTATGAGTCATTTAAAAAATATAAAGCAATGCAATACTTGTTCTACGTTCATTAAAGTTTGAAAAATTTGCTTTATATCCTAAAATAACAAAAAAAGGAAAATATATTGACACCAAAATATTTTTATTTTGTATAGAAGCTTTAATGGATATAACAACTTCCATCTCATAATATTACTAAATATCAGAATTACATTGGATTATTAAATGTTTTTTGATAATTTGAAATGTAAACGAGCGTCTCTTGTCTGAAAGTAAATTTTCATTCCTGCA